ATGGACGCTTGTCCCTGCAATGATACAATGAGCCAGCGGCGGCGGCGGCGGCGGCGGCAATGGCAAGCTAATGAAATATGCTCTCTGCAGCGCGATTTTGCGATTTTAAATGCGAACGGAATGGAAATGCGCGCAAACGAAAAGAAAAACGAGTCGTTGGGGGCGGCATCGACAAAAAAGATTATTAATCACGCCGGTTGATATCCTCCAAACCACCCCCAAGGCATTTAAACACTTAAAATCTACATTTTTCATTTTTTTATATAAAAATGTTAAAAACATCAATTTTACGCACGCTGATGAGTGTTTAAAGTGATATTTTTACACACTAGTGTAAAAAATACAACTTTATACACTAAACTGTAAATAATACAATCTTAAGTGTCCTGAATGTCCTGGACGTCCTGGAAATGTAAACAAAGCGTAGTGAGCACGTAAAACATGCACAAGAAACAAAAGAAATGTGACACTCGGACAAAAGGTAGTTAACGTCGAAATCCTCCCGAGTCTCCGGAGTCCGGAGAAAATGCGCATCCACAACCCCTCTGCCCGTTCCTGTTGTGTGTCCCTCTTCTGTCTTCTTTTTACCTTGCGCTCGTTACGTTTGTGCGCCCGGCGCGCGCGCTACTTTTATGCCTTTTTCGGCTTTTATCTTTTCGCCTTCTCGCGCGGAGAAGAAAACATTTGTTCGGGGGCGCAACGAGACAGCCAGCGAAGAATTCAATTCGAGCGTGTACACTCGCCTTTTCTACGTTTCTTGTAGTTAGGAGTAAAATGGTTGTGTGCGTGGTCCTTTGCGAAAGGAATTTATTTTATTTTTTTGTGAGGGAATAAATTTTGCTACAATGAATAAAAATTTTAAGTTTTTGTTTTTCAAGTTGAAGTTTTGGTATGAAGGAAATGTTGTAGATTAATGAAATTTTGGAATTATGTAGAGAATTTATCTGACTAATTGCTGGTAAAGAAAAAATATAAAAATATTAATAATTGTTGATTTTATAAACAAAAAACTAACAAAAATCAATTTTTTGCATTTTTAAGTTTTTCAATTTTGTGTTCCAACTTTAACAATAAATTAATATAACGAAAAGTTAAAATAAACAATTATTGGTTTAAACATTTGAAAGATAATTTATTTAGCAATAGATTCACGTCAAAAAATCTAAAATTTAATAAAAAGTAAAAAAGTTATAAACAAAAATATAAAACAAATCAAAATTCAATTTTTCCAAAACAAAAAATTCTCAACCTCAATGTTTACTATCAAATAAAACATACAAAAACAAATATTTTTAACCCAATCTTTCACTATCTAATAAACAATTTACCTACTAACATTCTGCTAAAAAGATCAACAAAATCAATAAATAATTACCAAAGATATTCAGTAAAACAGAAAAACTTGTTTTGAGTCTAACCAGCTACCAATTATAATAGTTAAATATTGATTTGTTAAGCCGCACGTTTTTGCAATAAACAAAGCGCACAGTGCACAGTGATGAATAAATAATGATGCGTTTACGCTGAGCCAACATGCGACACACGACACACACCGCATGCAAACTTAATTTAGTTATTTAGTTGATTGTTATTGTCGCGTGGCGATTGAAATTTTCCCGATGTAGACTTTTCGCGATTTTGCGATAATTCACCCAACCGCATTGCATACTAAGCAATAAATGTGTGAGTAATCGTCAATAAGTAATAATATCAAAGTGTACAATACATGCGATAATGTAAATAATTGCTTGCGATTTGTACAATTACGTGCGCATTCTGACGGAGAGCATAGAAATTCAAGGTTAAGGTTGATGGATTGATTTTACATTTTTGCGTGTATCTTCCGCAATTTTCAACGGATTTTTATAAATTAAGTATTAGTTTATAGCCAAATAAATTATCTATCAATTTAATTTTGTTTCTTAATTTAATTATAATTATTTATTATATTTTTTAGCATTTAAAATCAAATAATAAGCAGATTCATTTGATTTTTGACTTTTTTTACATTTTTGTTAATAACTTTTTAATTATTAAAGATTTTTGCAAAATTTTAACACTAAATTAAAGTCAAAGAGTTGTGTTAACAAAAATACATTTAAATTATTATAAATAAAATATGTAAATAGCTTTAATTTACGCTTAAACTCATTCATACTCAATATTCATCAATATTTACTTAAATTTCATATATTTTATTAATTTGTTAATAACTTTTGATATTTTCAACCAATTTTGATCATTTTCGCACCAAATTAAAGCCAATTAAATTATTTACTAGAAAAATACTTTTTATATTTAATTTTTCATCCGAAATGCACATTTTTTGGAGGTTAAACTTTAAACTTTTCTGTTTTTCTTTTTAAGTTTTGTTTTCTTTATTTTCTAGTGCGACAAATAGCAAATCAGTTCCAGGCAGACTTTTAATAGAGGGTTAAGTAGCCCACTAGCTAACCCTCTAACTCGTGGCTAACGTTCGTTTTTTGCACCCCTAAAGCGTGCTACGTAGTTAGCTTAAACGCGTAATACGAGCGCAAGGGATGGGGTGCGAGACGAGCGCGTTAATTTCACCGCTTGCCCAAAAATTCGAGCGCGTCACGTGATACCAGCTATTTTAATACTGTTTTTCCAATTTTCATTCGCATTACCTAGCATGCTATCAGTGTAATCAGTGCAATCACTACAAACGCTAGAGATTGGGATTAGGTTACAAAAGGTTAAACAGTTTTGATTGATGTTTTGGAGTAGTAATATTAAGAGGAAGTGAGATAAATTTATGATATGTTATGTAAAAACTATGTAGGAGTATTGTGGAGAAGAAATTTTGGTAGAATTTTTATTAGTTTTATTGTTAAGATGGATTTTATCATAAAAACCAAAAGTATTTAATTTTTTAGGTTTTGTTAAGTTAGAGGGTGTTTTACCGTGTGAAGATATAGGGGTAGTTTTCTGAAATTTTCATATACTTTATAAAATTTATCTATAAACAATATAGTGTAAATAGAAGTTAAAAATATTAAATATTTCAAAAGATATTAACAAAAAACTAAGTTGTTAACATAAATAATTTTCTAGCATTAATCTTGCTATTACTATCAAGTTTAACGTTAATTTTGATACCGAAATATTAATCCGACAATTTTGAAAAAATTAGGTATTATGTATCCGTTCTTTATAAATATTTATAAATAAAAATAATAATAAAATCTATAAAATTACAGAAGTTATAAATAAAAATCTAAACAATTTCATATTTTTACACTTTTACAAAGTGTCATTTTTAAATCACGTGTAATTTGTTTATAACAAATATAATATAAACAAAATTTTGCTATAATATGTAAAATTTACTTAGTAATCAATTGCCAAAAAGAAATTCTTAAAATGTTAATTAATACGCAAGTTATACCAAAAAAACTAATCATTTTCAATTTCATCATCTCATCTTGCATCTCCACCGTCAAACGTCCATCAAACCCCACAAAAAACGCATTCAACCATATTGCAATTAGCGATAGACGATTCATGATTGAGATTCTGATTTGGACGCGGCGTAATTTAAGATAAACGTGAAAGCGAAGCGCAACGCAGCATCAAACAAAGATGAGAAAATGACGCGTCTTCGACTCGCAGTTCGATGGCGATGGCGGCGCGGCAGCCACGGGAAAAGAACGAAAACGAATAAGTGGGGTAGGCGGGGGTGAAAAGGGACGGTGATGAGGGCGAATCTGACTGACGCGGCAGAGGGTGCAATCGGACGGCCGAAAAACGCTAGGGGAGGTTTGCAATGGTTTGCAATCGAAGGAAAAATTCATTTTAACGCGCAAACGAAAACGAAAACCAAGATGAAAAAGAGAGATATGAAGTCATGATTTTAGGTTGAGGTGCAGTAAGGGTTGAAAAATTAAAATCTACCCTTAGTTTGTTATTTATATGTGAGCAGAATATTTTTTTTGTTAAAATTAGAAGAAAAATTGAAAAAAGAGAAATTTTGAGTTTGTTATTAAATTAAACAATGATAAGCATTTGCAATATGGATAAAATTTCGTAGTAATATAAACAATTTATCTGTTAATCATATAGTGAAAGAAAATTTGAAAAAAATCAAAACTTGTAAAAATTATTAACAAAAAACTAAAACACTTACAATTTTCATTTTTCCTTTTAAAAATTACTTGAATTATTAAACAAATTTCTCAATTAAACAATGAAATATCAAATATTTTAAACTAAAATTTTGTCATTTTATAAATAATTTAATTATCTATTAAACCCAAAAATAAAAATTCAAAATTTCCGATTAATTACCGAGTTATTAATATTTTTGTAAATAATTGCACGTGATTAATAACTACTTATTTTAACCATCTGCAAACCACATTTTAATGACCTCCAACAGTGTCATTCATACTCATAACACACATTTACTCATTCCAACCCTTAATTACTCCCTTCTATGCTTCTAAAACCTTAAAACTTAAATTATCAAACAAAAGAATTTTGCTCACCATGTGAGGTCAAGACATCCTGTGGTTAATTCACACTTTACACTTTACCCCTTCAAGGCCCTAAGGGTGCAATATGTTGGTACATTACACTTCACATTATATTTACCTAGGTGAAAGAATAAAACCGGTTCTCTTGGAATTTGATTTGTTTCATTCTCGTTGATGACCTTTCTCTTCTTTCTGCTTCGGGCGAGCGCTGAAAAATCGACGCGCGGCCCCGGCTCGCGCACTTAATGAAAGGTTAATTAGACTTCCTAATTACGGACGGCCGATGTCGTTATTTTCACATCCTCATTACGCCTTTTTACGATCGCTTGCAGGGAGAATGCTAAGGCAAAGACAAAGAACAGATATAAATAGATATTGACTAATAAAAGACTAATAAAAGTCGATATTTTTATTATTTAAATATTTTTTGAAGATTAGGAATTTATTTATTTATTTTTGGTTAGTTGGATGGTTTTAAGTAATTTGTGTTTGTTTATTTTTTACCTATTTTTACTCGAGTAGCGGGAGATTAATTATTCGGAGGAGAAAAACGGGATTTTCTTCGTCGTTAATTATCCGCCATTGTTCGCCTGCGAAAAGAAAACAAAACATTGATTTAAATAATTCGATTTGCTCGTATTTGCACTACAATACAAATAATAGAAATGGCATTTAAAACAGAGTGTAACTAAGAATAAAGGTACTTAATTTAAAGAACTTAAAAAATAAAATTTAGAAAAAATTTCAACAAAGTTTGACAATAAAATAACACATTAATAAAATATGATAAATTATTGAAATTTTGCACGAAGATTGAATCATTATTTGCCTGTTTAATGCTGAAAACAATTTAGAAAAACATTAATATTTACAAAAGTTACTAAAGAAAAAGCAAACATTTTCAGAATTTGATGTGAATTTTAAATTTCGAGTTCATATTCTAGTTTAAACTATTTAGATTTTTTATAAATAATTGATTATTTTAGATATTATGTATAATTTAGTTGTTAATTAATTGCTAAAAGAAAATTTCAAGAATATTAATTATTAATGAAATTATTCAACAAAAACCAAATTATTTCAAAAAGTATGGAGTTACGATAAGCAACATAATTTTTACAAACTTTAAACTCTTATAAAATTAACAAATATTGTTTAAAATCCTCCAAATTGCTTTTATTATATGCAGAATTTAATGTTTAATAATTATTTAAAAGAAAATTGTAAAAAGAATTATTATTAATGAAAATATTTAACAAAAACCAAAATAAAAATATTAATAATGCTTTCCCTACTTTAAACAAAGATTAAACTAATTAAATAATATCAAAATTCAGTCAAAATTTTACACAATATATCCAATTTATCTATAAACCCAATCCTATAAACAAAATTTAAAAATATTTATTATTTTAAAAGTTATCGCAAAAAAACATTTAGTATACTTATTTACTAATACTTTTTCTTCAATTTTCTTACTTTTTCGAATTTGTAAGAGTTTAAAAGAAACTCGGCAGAAAGTAAGATTGGAAAAGTGCGCGCTGCACCTCCACCCTTACACCCCTTCTTACCCCTACACCTTCCTACACCAGTCTATACGTACTCTGCTTAGAGAGGTGGAGGCGCGCGAGAGAAGTTCGCCGAGAAATGGAAAAGTGGAAGAGTTTAAAATTAAAAGCGCTAATCGAAAAGCCCGAGTCGAATATAAAAATCCACCGCGCTCACTTCAACCCCATGGCGCAGAGGGAAACGTCCAACAAACGCGAAGAATTTAAATCAATATACACTATGTACAAACCTTAAAAACCAAAAAAAAAGCTTAAAAAATTCAACCCTTAAATTATTGATTATTTTTTGCAGCTGTTTTATATTCCGAAAGATTTTATTGGATAATAAAATATAGGGGTTGTTTTATGAAAGGGTAGGAAGTGCCTACAAAGAAGGCGTACTTTTTTTTCTCTTTGGAAATAAAAAAAAATTGTATTGTTAAAGACTGCGTTGGAAAATATAAAAAGGGTGAAATAAAAGTGGAGGGGTTGAAGGGTACGATAAGGGTGGAAAGCGAAGAGAAAGAAAGCTGTAAAAAATTAATGAGATCCTTGTTTTTATTGATTTTTGTGTCTCGATAAAAACTTTTCTGGATAAAAAATTTTAAATTTTGTTTAATTGATATTAATTTTTAAGAAAAACTTTTTTTTAGTTGTGAGGCGTCAATGCACGTTGTTTGCGTGTTGGGGGCAGAGGGGCGGCAATCGCCGAGCGCGAAAGTTTTAATTGGAATTCCAATTAGTAGACGCCGCCGAATGTAGTTAGTTTTAGAAAAACGGCACGTCCGCGCTCACCAGCGGACGGCGGCGGCTGCCGCCCCCCGAAGCTGGTTACTGTAGAGGTGGCAAACAAGCGAAAAACTATTAAATAAATGCTTCAGCAAACTACTACACGTGAATTAAACTCTAAGTAAACAATTTTTTTTTAAAATCACAAAAAAAGATTTTAAAAAATATTTATCTTAATATTTAATATATTGTTATTAAATATTTTTGTGTCTGGTATGTAAAAGCTCAGTTTTCTTCAGCACATTTAAAAATATTCGCGCTCCGTTTCGAAATGAAATCGCTAGCGATTTTAATTAAAACGTCCGGCCGCGTTAGCGATTTGTTCGCCGCCCCCCGCGACCCTGCCATACCTCCCAGTCAAAGCCCTTTTTCCCAGTGAGCGCAGAAATATAATTTTTCATATTTTTTGCTTTATTTTAGCGTCGAGCTTGAGATTTAAAGCTGAAAACAACTTAAAGGCAATTAATCATTTGTGAAGAGTGAAAAGTGTAAAATGTTTTAAGTTTTTAAAATTTGAATATTTGCTAAAGTATTAAAGATATTTAAAATGTTTAAAGTGTGTTTAATAGATGATTAGTTGTACTATTAAATTCAACTTGAAAATATTTTGTTTAAATTAATTTAAGTAGGTTTTTTGTTGATTAAAGTTGAGGTTACTATAAAAATGTTTCCTAAAAAAGATTAAAATTTCGGTCAACTTTGAACTCAAATATCTCAAAAACTATCAAAGATAAATTAATTTTCTTTTAAATATATGATTAAATAACTTAATATCTACCAAAATCCATATCCAAATATTTTTTATTTAAAATTTTTAGTCAATTATTTAAGTTTTTAAAAATTTGCATTTTTTTTTTTTGAAATTTAATATTTATACCAACTTTAACCTCAAATATCTTCTAAAATATTACTATTATCAATATTTTCCTCGATTCACTATAAAATATAGTTAATTCCCTGTTAAAATGTTTTTACAGAATAGCTTTACGTCAAATATTGAATGATTTATGCTGCGTTGAAAATTTTCTGTTTTTTGTTAAACAAAAGAACTAGCTGTAAAAGAGCTCTCAGCGCGTTCAAAGCAAAAAGAAAATATAATTTATCTTTAACTTTGTGAATTAAGGACGCTATCACTCGCGTATTTAAAAGATAATTTATCTATCTCCGTCGGCGTGGCCACCCCCGCGACGACAACGCCGAACGTTTTATGTCTTTTTCCCGAGGAGACGTCCTCGGCGCGTCCTCTTCGTCCTTCGTCCTTCGGCGTTAATTCTTTGCGCAATGACGTGTAGTTTTTCAAAAGGCCGCCTCCGCCGCCGCCGCCGTACGCGTTCGAGGAGAAGCAATTTTGAAAAACGACTTTCTTTGTGTCCGGACCATTAAGGACTAATTGCAACGTTTTAATTTCGCGTGCACCTCGCGCGGAGCATGAAAGGCAGCAGCGGAGGCGGCGTGCATTCAAGATAGTGTTTTATACAAGGCAAGGATGGCTGATAACGCGCCATTGAGACGCGAACGTAAACAAAACGCGTGAAAAACGACCATCGGTTGTTTTTCTGTGCCGCGGGGCGCTCAGGAGGGACAATGCTAGGATAGGAAAAGGGGTGGCATGACAAAACGTCAAACATTTTGCGAACAACACCGACCGCCGCGGCAAACCGACAAAAACAGTCAAAATCCGCGCGAAAACAAACGAAAACAACGCGCGGGCATGAAAAACATTAGATTAAATAATTATACAAGTAATAATCAACAATAATTTGTTTTTTACACAAATTACCATGAACAAAACCCTAAAATTTAATAAATATCTTTAAAATATTTATAATTCTTAATATTTTTAAAGTTAATTATGTTTAAAGTTGAAAAATCAAATAATAAAATGACAAAATTAAATTTCAACTTTAAAGAACGATAACTCGATAAATAATTAATCAAATTTAAAAATTCTAAAAGAATATTGTAGATACACTTATGTTTTATCAGACAACAAAATTTTGTTTAAATATCTTAAATAATTTGGAAGATATTGCAATAATAAATAAAATTTGCAAAAAAAATTTTAGTTTCATTTTTGATTAATTATTTAACAAAAACTAAAACTGATAAAATATGTCTTTAAATTGTGTGTGATAGTTTGTTTAATGCTTAATATATTATTTCAATAAACTTTTCCCGTATTACTAATTGTTTCCGCGTAATCTTGAATTTAGTCACAACTTCCTTTCCCGAAATCGAAAGAACTCGTCCGGTATTGATTTCTGGTAAGTTTTTATTCGCCGGCGAATTCCGGTTAAAAATGGAAGCGCTCAAAAAGTGCGCGAGGGTTGAGGAATGAAAAAGCGGGTCGCGCTCGTTCGCTCACCCACCCCGCCGCCCACGGCACCCTCTCGTTCGCGATGGCCGCCTCGGCGCCGCGTTTAAAAAGGGGGAAGCAATCAACTCTTTTCCGATGCAAATTCAAAACCTCCCTTTTCTTTTTCTCTCGGCGTGTTCGGCTCGCTGGCGCCCCTCGTTCATCCACCACCACCATCCACCCACCCACCCCCCCGTTCACTCCACTTCCACCCCTTCAGCGATGTCTCTGGCCGCGCGCTCGCAATTTTCTCGCGCGCGAATCTTCTTTTCTTTCTTCGTCTGCGCTGTTTCTTTTCGAACGCTCTTCCGTCGCCTTCTCAACGACACGCTGCCGCCGCCACCGCCGCTGCCAGAGATGGAGATGGAGATGGCGCAGCGAGGCTTTTATAAAATACAGCGTATACACAAAGGAGGAATATAGATTGCGTCCGGCGGGCCCGAAAAACGCGAAGACTGCGAAAGGGGCGGCGTGGGGCGGCGGCGAGGGGAAAGAGCGCTCTTTTAATTGTAAATGCTCTTCTTCGCCCCGTTTCTTCTACTCTCGACGCTGGCGCGCGCGGCGTTTGCTCGACTCGCAGAATCTTTCTGCGAGCAGCGGGCGCGGGGGTGGCGGCGAGCCGGGTGGAATTTGCATAAAAGCAATTTTTCCCGCGTCTGCTCGCGCTCGAGAGTTTTTATCATTTTTGGCACGGAATCAAAATCAGAATCTCATTTGGAGATGCGCGCGGAGCGATTAAAATGGAAATTGGCTGTACAGATTAATTTCAAATCGCTGTATCACAAAAATTATTCAATTATTTTGGAAATTTTAAAAACCAATCTATTAGGCATTAAATATATTATCAGATGCCAGTAGAATCATTTAATTGTATTGAATAGATAATTAGTTATTTTACTTTAAAGTTGCATCATAAATTAGTTCAATTTAAATCTTCAAAAAATATGTTTCAACTTTAAATTACTGTAAATCAATAAATAATAATATTGCAAAAAAGCTTAAACTATTAATCAATAGAGAATTTAATGCTTAATAAATTATTTTAGTAAATTTTTTTGATATCTCCTGTCATTTGTCTAATATTTGCATTTATGTATCAACTTTCAGATCATAAGATGACTAAAATTATTCCGCAACTCAAACTTTGATTCTAAGTGTGAAAATGAGGTTATAACCTAACCTACAACCAGAATTTAACCTCTAAATAGAGCTTTTAACTCTAACATAACTTAAGGTAATTTTAAACATATTATTATCACATTAAAAACCCGTCTAAACAATTTTTAACATTTTTTATCTAAATTTAATCCTATTTGATTAGAATTTCTAAGATAACGTAACTGGATGATTCCAAAATCCTTCTGAGCTTTTTCAAGCTCTGAGATAAAACATCCTACACACTTTTAAATGCAATCGCAATCACTTCTGTTTAGCATGTATTTCGTCCTCTTCTTTCTCCTGCCTTATACTCTAACAATCGCATAAGAATAAAGCGCAGAGCTTTCGTTTTGTATAAAGCTTCAAGATGCAATCATTTTTGGGGAGATAGAAAAAGGGCTCGCAGGAATCTCCCCCTGCAGTAGCAAGTCTAACAAAATTACGAAAAAGTGACAGTCGCACGTGTGCAAAGCTCAAAAAAGCTCCCGAATGTCAATCAAACCTGCAGCTCTTATTTTTAAATATTAACTAAATTCAGATTGTGATTTTGGACATGATATCACCGACCGCATTAACCGCAGCCACGTTGTAGTTATACAAGCGTAAGGCGAGCTTTCAGGGGTGGCGGTATGGGAGGCGGCAATTTCGGACCGCGGTGGATAACCGCAACACTGCCAGCCGCCACCTATATTCCCCATGAAACGTATTCTAGTGTTTTGTCTAAAAAAAAGCTCAAAAAAGCTCTGAAAAGATTTTTGAAATAATTTTTATAATTTTTGCTACAAAAAATATTTGATTAAAATAATCAGCGTATTCGTTTTGTTAATAATTAAATAACTAATGTATTAAAAAGCTCAAAAGCTCGAACACTTAAACTTTGCGCGCTTACTGATCTCCGTCTTTTGCGTAAAACTGTGCAAGTTTCAAGTGTGCGTGGAAGAGCACTGGAAGAAGCTTGAGTAAAAGCTCGCGAGTAGTAACACAGTAAGAAGGCATGTAAGAAGGGCAAAACGCGTGGCGGCACGCCGCCTCCACCACCGCCGCAGCCATCTCGACACGCAACAAGTTTATAAATCCGTTTAGAAAACACGTGTTATACTAATATTAAATTTCCAAAATACTCACAGCAAATTTCTTATCAACTTTCAAATTTACAAATTCACTGATTTTATCACAACTTCAAAATAAAAATTTCTACGTCCAATATGGACTGCAACTAAATTTACACTGAATATCATATTAAGGTCCAGTTAGATTTGACCCTTTCGAAATATATTTTTCGTACCTGGCTCTAACCCTTTTTTACACCACAATGACCCTTTCTTTTCACTTAAAATCTTTCATGACCCTTTTGTTGAACCATGAGAAAACCGGTTTCTCCTCGAATGCATGGTGTAGGTCAGTGTGTTGGGAAGCCTGGAGGTCACTTTCCCTTTCATACGGAAAGGGATGCAGATGCAGGTGAAGACCGGAAGGGTTCACGGAGTGGTCAGACCAGTATGCAAATTTCGGATGACCAACTACAATGGAACATATGCAGCAGTTCCGCGTTGGACATCTGTCCGACAGAATAAATTCTAGAATGTACAAACATACTAGATAAATATAAATGTATAAAAGTTTAAATTTAATTTTTAATAATAATATTACTCACGTGTTGAGGTTGTGAAGTCTGGATGCGAAATGATTATTAGATTGGGAGTTATGATGACTTTGCAGATTTTTACGCTGAAAATGACACCCTCCTTTCACTTTTTCTCCGTTGTTAGGGGCAACCGATAAACAAACTCAAATAATGTTGAGTCATCTACTACGTAGTTACATATCAGTTGGATTTTAGTAGTTGTGATGTGAAGACGTCTTCCAGATAAAAATAAAACGTAAGACATTAAAATTTCATTCAAAAATTATTATAAAATAAAATATTCAGTTATTATAAGTCAATTCAATTTAAATTTAATTTTTAATTAATTATCGTCAATATTAATTTTAATTTTGTTGTTTAATATGTTTTTATATTTTAGTTTATTATTAAAATCAAAAGTATTTGAGATAATAATTACCATGAGTATTTCTTACTTGTGTTAGTTATGAAGTCTGAACTACAACTGATCACAATCTTAGTCACTACGGTGACTTTGCAGATTTTCACTCACATATTGACACCCTACATTCACTTTTTTCTCCGTTGCTAATAGCAACCGATAAACAAACTCAAATAACGCTTCGTCATCTCCTACGTAGTCACGTACACACGTATCAGTTCTCCTTTCACATGTGTGATGTGAAGACGTTTTTATTTTTTTCCAGAAAAATCTTTTGACAATTTTTTAAAATAATTAAAAAATAATTATATTGACGGTTATAAAAATAATCCGTTGTACCTAAAGGGTGAACGTTTCTCACAGTGGTCACGCAGGTATGTAAATGAAGGGTCAACACACATCACCAACGGCCAAAAATAGCAAAAAATCACAATGTCTGCTCTTTTGTTTGATTCCTTTCGTTAGTTTGGGCACACTAATGGTCAAACCGGTTCGACAACAATCAGATACCTAACGGGGTCGGTCCGTGGAGATATTTTAAGAAGAGGGTCATCGGTAGAGTAACCCCCAAGGGATACAACACCAGACATCAGACACCAGGTAGTAAAGTAAAAGTTGTCCAAATATCGCGAATATGTATATTCGGGTGTTCATTGACGTTTTGAGGAAATAGGATATCTATCCGATGTGTCTACGACTCTTTCATTTAAATAGGAAAATTATTTAAATAATGCGCGCGTAGGCAAATCAAAACGGATAGACGATAGAATATTCGAGAATGAGTTGTGTATTATTAGCTTGGCTTGAAGGTGTTTACGGTAATGAAACCGGTTTGACCGACCACGAACTTCTTTTTGGCAAATAACTTTTTTGTTGTTACTTAGTAATAATATTTTTGGGTATATAGTCAAGGTAGCTTTATGCGGAGGCGGAGTGATATTTTATTGTTGAGTTTTTAATTAATTACTCGGAAACTACTTATGCTACAATCATAATTCTTTCATAATAATAATTAGAATTAAATTTTGTATTTATTTGCTAAACATTTTGTTGATATTTTAATTGAACAATTAATTATAAACAATTAAAATTAAATTTAAAAAAATTAATTTAAATTGTTAATAACTAGTGAAAAAATAGGGTTATCAACAAATTATTTACAAAAATAGATAAAAAATTTAATAATAAAAAAACCAATGCAATGATAATTGATATAGTTTATTTAGTGTTTGTGTAAAATTAAAACAATATCATTAAAATATTAGAACCGAGCAACTCAAAAAAACGCCGAGACTAATTTGTTAATTACTCGTTAATTAAATAAGCTAGAGACATAATTTTTTCAGAAATTGATTAAAAATTAAAGTCTTTATCTCACTGAGAAATATTTTGTTAATACCTTTATTTATTTCAAAGTTATAAACAATTAAACTTCAATCTTGTAAAAAAAAAATTAAATTGACATAAACTTGTCAATAACTTTTGACAAAAATATATAAACAAATAATTATTTATAAAATTGTATGCAGAGTTTAATATTACATAAGATGTAAAAGGATTCATTATTATAAACAAATTATTTCTTGAGTTATTAACAAATAACTAAAATATTGCAATATTACTCAATATTATTTTTTTCTTTCAAGTTAAAGCACCTTAACTATATAACCATATTGCAAATAATCTCTTTTTTGTACTAATATCTTATGACTTATGTTCTATGACTAATAGTTAATAACTAATAACTAATCACTTGAGACTTTAGACTTGACGATTAGCCGAAGTTGAATTAAGGTGAAACGCGGTAACAATTCGCTGCCATATTCACTCGTTAAACTTTAAAACCCACAAAAAAAAAACGCGTTATGTTTTTAAAGAGTTTGTTTGTCTCAGATAAATATTTTATCAAAATAATGACGAATATCAACGAAGTTTAAGGTTAATAATAAAATAATGCGTAGATGTAGTAAAACAAGTTTACCATTGATTGGAATTTTTTCCTCTTCAAATTAAAAACTAGTTATAAAAATGGAAAATAAACGCGAAAATATTATTGACCGGTTGAAAATATTTCGAAAGTAAAATTCAATGACGCAAGATATGCCTTTCTGCGCACTGCACACACGCATTCTCTATTCACTGCACTCGTTTCTTGCACTTATTGCACTCATTTATTTGCAATTCCAGCCGCAATATTTCACATTTCACATTCGGTCAATGTATATTTTAACCGATAATAAATTACACTTTAAATTAGAAACAAATGTTGCAATCGTGCGGCAATTCCAGCAATTCCAACAATTATAATAAAATTTATCAGGAAAACGCATCCAATTGATGGCCGGTTCGTTGGTTGTAATTAAATTTTGTGGCAAATGTAAATAATGAAAGTAATGGGCGAAATAATAAAATTAATCGATTGTGTAGTGCAATGCGCAATTATTTTATTTATGCGTGTATTGACAGCTGTTCAATTTGTTCGTTGTTACAATTCATGGAATACTAATGTTTATATTGCGTATGTTGGTACGAGTATTTATTCATGACATAATGATATATTATTTTGTCGAAATGCAAATGTTTTTTAAAAGTTGAATTGTGGCTATAATATTAGAGATAAATTAATTATTTAAGTTGTAATCTATAGTTTATTAACTATATTTTTATCTGCAGTTTTGATTTTGTTGTTGTTGTTTACTAGAAATTGTTTATAACAGTTTATAATTGAAACAACAAAAAAAAATTGCTAATTTTAACAAAAAATGTTTTTTGTGTTAAAAGTTAAATAACGTAAACAATTTTTATTATATAAATGCCAATCAAAATTCAGTTAAAACATAATTAAATATTTTATTTTTGTAAATTTATATTAATGTTGTATATTTAACAGAAATATTTTTATTAATTAGTAAAATCGCAAAGTTACTAACGCAAAATTACAGAAACTTTTTTTGAAAATGTTTAATTATAGCCGTTATTATAAAGATTTACGAATGATACAAATTGTTTTCTATAGATGATTAACAATATTTTTACATGCAATTTAAATTTTATTGTTGCTATTTACCAAAAATTATTTATCGCTGTTAAAACTTGACAATAATTTTATTTTTGTCATTTTTAAACATAAAATGTTTAATTATCTTAAAACTTGAATAATTTAAGCAATTTTTATGACACAAACATCAATTCAATTTTAGTATACAACTAATAAAATTTATTTTTAAATAAAATTATAACATATTTTTTATTTAAACTAAAAATGATATTAGATCAAATTAAAAGTGAAATTTAGAAAAACGAATTACTTTCAACTTTGAAATTTTGTAAGATTGCAATTTGCGTCATAACTTTTTGTTTGATAATAATAATCCGCTGCACATTCAACATTTCGACATTTCATAATACGTTTTCTTGCGTTTTCATGCACATTGTTGCAACTGATTGCAAACAAATTGCAAATAAATTGATTGAATTACGCTTAAGCTTGGCTTCTTCCAGTATTATGGCAGTAGAAACTCACCACTCACACAATTATGAGTACGCATAATGAATATTGTGAATTCCTCTATTGCTAATGGAGCATAATTATGATTTTCACAGGTGCAAAAATATTAAATACCAGTTCCAGACTAATTTGTAGCCCGAGTTTCACTTTCACTTTTTTTGCCTTCGCACGTCTTGTGCTACTGTATTTGGAATTTAATGTTGAGTATTTGGTTTAAAGTGTGAATAACTAACATACATTCATGATATTAGTATTCATTTTCGGATGGCAATGAACAAATGAGTGAATGAACAAATACGCAGTTGAGGATAATTAACATTTCATAATAATTATAATTATTGGGTTAGTGTATAGTAATTTTGGTGACATTGAATTTTATGTGATTTGGTAGCACCATAAGCACATCGCCCTTATGAAAATGTTTAGTTTTTTGTTGATTTTATCAAAGTTATTTAGGCTAGAGTAAATAATTTTGAATAAATTGATTAAGAATTAAATTCTGCGTATTTGTATATTAAATTTTTGTTGATGAAAATTGTTTTACATTATTTATTAATAATTTAAAATTGAACTACTCGTATTTATAATTTTATGCTAGTGACACAAATTAGCTTGTAAATGTTGATATAAAATAGATACTGTTATTATAACTAAGTAATTCAATGAATTAGTTAATAGTTATTAAATATCTAAATAAATTTTAATCGTAAATTAGTTAGTTTTTCTGCAATTAATAAAAAATGCTCACAAAATTATTTTAATTCTTGCATCATATAAAAGCTAGGCAACTATAGAATGTTTTTATTTTCGAAGCAGTTTAGGTTTGATTCAAGGCTAAATTTAAGCTTATAGTTTATTTTCCAACCCTTTACTGGTACTACTACCCTCCGTCAAATTTCTAAGCAGCACTTTACGGGGTGTTTTGGGGTGTATGTTGATTTAGTTCAGTTTATAGCCATTTATTTTAGGCAGCACTGTGCAGGGGTATGAAATAGAAGTAGTTATTTACCCCTTTTGTCGTTGTACCCTTATTTAGGCGCCACTTGCTGGACTATGTTCAAAAAATCAATAATTTTGAATAGTTTGGATAGTTGTGAAGATTGGGTCTGTATTTAAATTTGCTTTTTGGTTTTTAAACTTCAATAACTTGAAAATTATTTGAGATATTCTTAATATTTAAATCGCATTGTAAAGATATAGAATCATATTTTACGTTTCTTAAATATTATTGTGAAATTATTATTAACAAAAAAGTTATTAATGTTAAAACGCAATAATTGAAATATTTTCATTAATTTATCAAAATCCAGGTTAAATAAATCAATAAACAATATACCAACACTAAAATTATTAAATTAAATAGTTTAATAATTATATTTTATAACAAAATTTAATTTGTTATTATATATAAATCCATACTCTTTTGGTAAACAATTTAAACTAAACTTGTCCCAAACTTGTTCCACTTTATTTTTCACTTTTATTTTCTACATAAAAACTCACTTGTTATTAATTCTTACTCCACTTTAAATTTTTACGACGTCTGGAAGTCCATAAAATAACAACATAATATTTAAGTTTATAAATCATTTCAACCGCAACAATATTTTGAGTGTTGACGCTTTTATTCTCAAATTTAAGTGTTGCTTTAAACTTGAACTCGTTTAAACTTAAAATTCAGAAATTCGTATCACGTTTTATTCAATATTTACGCGTTGTTGTTTATTGATGAAATAACAAACATCGTTACAATATATTACTACATACATACATAATACCAAATACTAAATACAAAATTTAACTTCTATGTTTATCATTCTTACAGTTTATAGACGTTTTGTAAGACGTGTTTGTTTATCTATCTATTTATTTGTTTTACGCGTCAATTTTGTACATTTTTTATGCAAATTAATTGTTATACCTGCTATATTTTATTTAAAATTCATGTCTTGTTTCCGTATCTGTTAGGTAGTTGGAAGTTGTTGTTTGAAGATTGAGGAATTGAGGAATTGTTTTTTACGTACGGGGATTTTTATTGTTTTGAGGTATTTCCTTCGTCACTTTTGTCATTTATATATCATCATTATTAAACCAGTCATTTGTTAAACATACGTCTGGATATGACGCGTGTTTGATTTGTGTGTTCCTTTTTTACATTTTTACAGTTTAAATTATGAAAACAAGAATAGGAAATTATGAAAAAAATATTTTAAACTTTCTTCATAAATTTTTCATTCATAATAAATTAATAAATATTAGAACACAAAAAACTGTAAATTGAGTCAACAATAAATTAAGGGTGTATTTAAATAATTTAAAGATTTAAAATTATTTCTGAAATTTAGATAATTCATAATTTGTGCTAAAATAAACCTAACTGTTTTTTATAATATAAACTATATATTAACAAATAAAACAATACAAAATGTATAATTTTTCATAATATTATTTACAGTTAGTTAAAAATTATTAATAAATTGTTTATAAGTTGTTAAACAGTAGATAGGTAAGGTATTAATGTAAAGAAAAAACGTAAAACTCTGCCTCTATAATTATTATACATTATAAATGCATTCAAGTATAATTTATAGCTACAATAAACGTTCAATTACTTCCACATTACTTTACAATTTTCTGTGGAGGTGATAATTGATGTATTAATTATTGTTTTGCATTAATTATGCCACATATCAGTAAGTTTTACGTCAATTACAGATTTTCAGAAATACTTACTCATTACTTAAGTGATTAATGATACTTTTTAGTTTTTGTCAGATTTCAAAAATATTTGTAGTGAAAAACTAAATTATGAAGGAGGTACACAGATTCTTTCTTCGTCCACTTCTAAAATAACATAAAATCACCTAAAACTGGTGCTTTTTCAACACGAAACATTATTAATCATAATTTACTGCTCATCAAATAACAAAAACAATATATCGTAGCACAAATAGAGCTAAATAATTATTTTTCATACTTTATGTTTATAAAAATAATTTTTTTGACTTATTTTTTACTTCCGTCATCTCTACACGATACATTTATTCAAATATTCTACTGACATACATTGTCCTCTTGATATATACCAAACTCACTTCTTAACATGTCTAAAACTTCTTCTAGACATAAATTAAAACTGCGAAAATAACATTATATCTGCTGTATCACTGTCTCAACATATATGTATGGAATTCCCCGAACACTTCCTCCAACTTTTTTCTCTCTTAACTAATTTCTGCTCAATCATCTTGTTTCGCGACTCTTGACTCGTTTTTATTGTAATTTTTTACTTGTTTATAACCCGCCAAAGCTCGCATGACTTAAGAATGTGTACACGTGTAGTACGATATCAAAGTACAAGTGTACTGGACTCGCAGCAAGTCATGGTGGGTTTCTTCGCTCACCTGGCTGAAATTTATAAAAAAAAGCAACGCGTCCGACCGGACTCTGAGTCGTTCGCGGATCGCGACGGATCAACAAGTGCACACAATAAACACACACAAACACACACATATGTGTAAATATTACCTGTTTACCTGTTGAGTAGTTAAGTCAAGTGAGGCAAGCAGGGGGAGACACTTGTCCGGTCGGTCAGTTTCTCAGTCGAATCGGTGCAGTCGCGCGCACCACTCGAGCGTGTTTCGCTTAAGTATACGCACATCATACTTAAGTCAGATACAATTTATATAAAATTATTTAAATAATAAATATTAAATACACACTTGTATTATATATACGAATTATAAATTTAAAGTGTGTTATATTTTTGCAATAAAAATAAATTTATAATGAATAATGTTAAGTCCGGAAGAAGATGGCGGTTCAGCGAGCCGCCGGAAAAGTGTTACTATGAAGATTTGCATAGATCTTTACCGGAACCACCGACTGAGGGCAGTGCGATCGTTGATTATTTCAAAGGGAAGACGATTTTCTTGACGGGCGCGACCGGATTTCTTGGGAAGATTGCGATCGAGAAGTTGTTGAGATGCTGTCCGGATATCGAGGGCATTTTTATTTTGTGTCGGGATAAAAAGGGGAAGAATATGCATGATCGCACGGAGGAAATATTCAATGATGTTGTAAGTACAAATAATTTATGATTTCAATGTTTAATCTTGATTTTTCAATTAAAAATAAGGGAAATTTTATAGTAAGTTTATATGTGAATAACTTTTTACTGGGTGAAGATATTTAAACAAATTAAAGTGCAACTTAAAGTACAGTTAATAATTTGTTGATATGTCCATAAGTACAGTAGTTAAATTTGTTTATTATTATAAAATTTTTAATTTTGCAAATTTTGTTTTGAAAAATTTGCTCGAAAATCAACCTATGAGTTTGTAGTATTGTAAACAATTAACCCATTATGACAATTAATTGGATGATGCATAAATTGAAAACATAATTAATTAGTTATTTAATGAAATTTAATTTATGTCGATATCTGAATTAGTTTTTGTTTAATGCCCAATTTATAATTGTAAAACAAAAACAAATTTTATCTTTAATTTTATTTTTCTTGTAACTTTGAATGATTATAACTTTTATTTGGTTGATTATAATTTAAAAGTTTAAAGTCCACATTAAAATATAAATAATAATCTATTAGTTGTAATTTTTTTATATTTCAATGTACAGTAAATTTTTACTTATTTGACTTCCAACAAATTATGTAAAATTGACTTTGAGCTTTGATAAAAACAACAAATTATTAACATTCAACAATTACTTCAGGCAAAATATTTATTTATAAACTAAATTTAAAAACTAAATATTTAAATATTCAATATTCAAGCATTAATGATTAAGTATAATTAACTTAAGCACGATGTCAATGCCAATGTGCTGCGTCTGTTGCGTTTGTTATCGTTCCTCGTACAAAATAAGCCAGCTTGCATTTCGCATTCGCATATCACATTTAGTCGTCAAGTTATATTGTGATTGCGTGACAATTGTTACAATTACGTAAGCGTGCAACCGTAACAAAAACTCCTGTTATAACTTAATTAATTAATCAGCCATCTAGGCTTAACATTTATATACCTACAATCGCATATGTGTATATGTATAAATGTCTTTCAATGACAAATTTTGCGAATAGTTCGCTTCCGTAATTCCGTAATTCTGCATTAATTCATTAATTCAACACGTTTTTTCGCGTATTTCCTAATATTAAGTTTAAGTTATTCAGTGCAATTTTATTCAGCCTTGAGTGGGACTTCCGAGCACAAACAAAAAAATCAATAGCAAACAAACCACGCACGGAAACGAATACGCATAAAAACGAACATCAAAATGTTAATATCTCACGCCATATGATATTATAACATTATTTGTTTGTGTACGCGTATATAGTTGCGGTACTTTTACGTGGTGCAAGAGTTATGCTTTTATTTAGTTTTTCGTAATAACTTTTGAACTATTTGAGATAAAGTAATAATTCTTTCAAGAAACCATTTAATATTAATTTCTACCTCTAATTATATAAGTGTAAAGCTCATCAGACTATTTCGCGACTCTTTATAAACAATTAAAGCTCAATTTAGTAAAAAACATGAAAAGTGACACAAATAGTCAAATAATTGATGATAATATGCTGTTATCAGTATCGTGTTTTAGAAGTTGATAAAGAATTTAATTCTTAATATAATTCTTAAGAAATTACATGAATACGTTGATTATTTTTGGAGTAATTAGTAAATTACTAAAATATTGTCATCGTATTTGTAGTTTTATAGTAAATCATCTTATATTTTTGTTAATTACTCAAAAACTAATTACGCTTTTAGTCTAAGTTTTTCTTACGTTGGTTCAGAATTTAATTCTTAATCAACAACTAAGCGAATTATTATTATATTTTGTTTACTTTTGGATTAATTAGACATTAACTGGACTTTGTCAAATTATGCTTGGTTACATAATTACATTTCGTATGTTTTTTGTTAATTACTCAGAAACAAATCACTTAATAAGCGCATTTTTTTCTCGTAACGATTAAGAATTAAATTCTGCAACATGAACATCAAGAAAAACATTGATAATTATTTAATACAAAAAGTTATAAACAATTAACTTCAAATAACATAAAATTTTCAAATTTGACACAAATAGCCCTATAACTTTTGATAAAAATACGTTATCAACACAAATATTATAAACTAATCATAGAATTTACTTCTTTGTCGACTACTAAAGAAATCATTCAATTATCTTGGTTACTTTTTGAGTTATTAACAAAAAACTAAAACTTTTCTCATAGTAATGTCAAGTAAGCGCGTTGTGACTATACCAATCGTAAAAAATAGTATTGTACGCTTCTTGAATCATAACTTTTGCATATAAACACAATATAACATGCGCGTATCTCTATCCACAAGTAAGTAAAGTCCAAATTCTCTACGCTGGTAATTAAAATTAGTTGTTGAAGGTTGTTACCGTCGAAGTAAGCAAAAGATTTGTTGTATTTGTAACGTTTTCGAATATGCAACCTTGACGCACGAAATCGCTTCTAATTCGTGGTTAATAACTTAAGTAACTTGCGGCTGCGTTGAAATTTTATTAGTGAGTGACTTGCGCGCACAGTTATTCGAGTAATTTTAATGATCGATCGGCGATTCGGAATTCGGAAAAGAGTAAAGTTGAAGAATGCGTTATTGACTTTTAATGACGGCGACAATGTCACTTTTGATGGCTTCGAACGCGCGTAATTTACGAGATTATTTGATGGCTGCAGTTAAAAGCGAAAGCTCAATTAAAGAGCTACATGAAATAGTAATTGCTTCTTAATTTAATAAATTATTTTAACGACTATTAAGCGATGAAAAATTTCAAGTTGACAAAAATAAAATTAAACATCTTTAATTTTGGGAGCTTAGAACTCAGAAAGCAATAAAGATAATTTATTTATAAAATTATATTAAATAGACAATTTAATAACTTACCCACATACGAATTTTTATCAAATTATTACTAATAGTTTGTTTATAATTAAATAAATAACAAAATATTTCAATTTTTTCTTTTCTTTAGCTTTTCAGTCGATTGAACCAGTTAAACCCAAAATGCCGCCACAAAGTAACTCCAATCAAAGGAGATGTTGGCGAAGAAGGTTTAGGCATGTCCGAGGTAGATCGTCAATTATTGGCATCCAAAGTAAACGTCATCTTCCACATCGCTGCGACCGTGCGTTTCGACGAGAAAATTCGCACTGCAATGGGCATCAATGTTCGTGGCACGCTGGAAATGATGCGCCTGGGTAAAGAGTGTTCTTCGTTGGATTCTTTTGTTCACATCAGCACAGCATTCTCGCATTGTGTGCGGCAGTTCGTAGATGAGACATACTACGAAATGCCGGTTAATTATCAGGATCTCAGCGCACTTATCAAGACTAAAACTGATGCAGAGTTGGAAGAATTGTGGTAAGTGTTATTTTTTCATAGAAAATTTTACTTTGAGAACGAATTAAACAAAAACTAGTAGAGATATTTTTATGGAGTCATGGTTATATTAAATATTGTTAATTAAAGAATATATTTTGAGAGTATGAATAGTTTTGTAAGTTTGGTTTCGCCGCTAGAGGGCACTTTGTACAAAAATTGCAAAATTGGACATAACCATACTTTAACGACTAATCACAAATCAATGTTTAGTTTAATTTTTATAAAACAAAATTTAAATGATTGATAATTTAATATTTTATTAGCTTATAACAAAATATATCCACAAATTGCATTGAAAAACTTTTTAATTGATTAACATATATATTTTTCAGTTTATATAAACCATGGCCTAACACATACACATTCACCAAAGCAATGGCTGAAGAAGTAATCAAAAATGAAGCTGGCGACTTACCAATTGCAATTTTCCGCCCTTCAATCGGTAAATATTCCTACAACACACAATTTTTACTTTATCAAACTTAATATTTACTAATAAAATTATTTTGTAGTGATTTCAACATACGAAGGTCCTCTCCGTGGCTGGATCGACAACGTCTACGGTCCTACAGGTGTAATAACCGGCGCAGGACTCGGAATTCTCCGTTCCCTATACTGTGATGGAAAAAACGTCGCTGAAATCGTCCCTGTCGATTGGGTTGTTAACGCGATGATAACCACAGCGTACAAAAACTCCAAATCAGCTAAACTCAAACACAAAATTGCTAATACTCTGCAAATAGAACATGTTAAACAAAATGGCGTGAATATGGGTCGTTTGGATGGGCATGATGAGATTGTGAAAGTTGTAGAGCCACCAATTTATAATTACGTGTCTTCTGTGGAAAACCCGCTGACGTGGGAGGAATACACCGAGATGAATCGACATTATGGTATTAATGTACCGACGATGCAGGCCTTTTGGTATTATAGTTTCAGACTGAACAAGTATAAACCGATACATTACTTTTATACTTTGTTTTTACAATGGTTGCCGGCGTTCTTGTTGGATGGGTTGGCTGTTATGGTTGGGAAGAAACCACAGTAAGTAAAAACTTTGATTATTTAAAAATTAATTAAGGTAGCTTATTTAAAACGGTATCATTTTAAAAACTGCATTAATAGAAAACAATTTTGGTCGATATTATCTTTGTCGTGTAGATAGTTTTGGCAATAGAGCGCATTTAGTAATAGAAAACAATTTTTAATTGCGTCACTCGAAAAAATGTTTTAAATCTTGCTTTTCCGAAACATTTCAACACAAAGAATTAATCCGTTATGCACAAAAGATGCGTGATTAAATTCTCTTTAATTTGATATAATGTCAATATTGTTCATTAGATATTTTTGTAGATATTTCACTTTTTCTTTGATATTCTTGGTCGAAATTTTGTTTATATCTAGTTATTTACATTCTACTTAAATATTGCAACGTTTTTCTTCTAGAATAAGCTATATCGGTCAAGTACTATTTTTTTAAATTGTTGTAATACTTTATTTGTAGATATTGTTAATAATAATCTTTTTTTTATTTTAGGCTGGTTAAAATTTACAAGAAAATCGACAAGTTTGCCAACGTAATCTCGTATTTCTCAATCCGTCGTTGGTTCTTCCGTAACAACAACATACAAGACATGTGGACTGCCCTCTCACCTATAGATCAAAAGCTATTTCCTTTTGATATCAAATTAGTTGATTGGGAAGCACACAGTCACATGAACATCTTCGGTGTGCGGACCTTCATCATCAAAGAAGATCCAGACACATTACCGGCAGCAAGGAAAAAATGGCAAAGGTATTAAATTCATCTTAAACAATTACACAATCACAAAAATTTATTAAATTAATTAATAATTATTTATTTATTCTGTTTTAGATTATATATAGTGCATCACGTAGTCAAATTCGCATTCTATCTAATCGTCCTGCGTGTGGTTTACTCATTCCTGTCGACGATATTCAACGTAACTTCACTGTTTCTTGGATGATATAATAACATGATTTAAATTTACGTATAATACAATACAATGAGATTGAATATGATTAATTGAGATTAAGTCGTGACCTGCAATCATAAGTTTAGATGTTATATTGTGTAAATTTATTTTGAATTTCAAAGTGTATTCTGATATTTTTGTGGACTGTATACATGTATGCAGGCGTGTAGGCATGTAACTATATTTATAACTAATCTATTGTTTTATTTTATTATAGGAAATACATAAATGTAAACTGATAATTTAATAAATATCATGGTAAGATTCAAATTTTAAAAAATGTTACGTTTTACCAAATTGATACTCAAAAACCATTTGATCAAAATTATTTATTTTTTATATTTAAATAGGTAACTAATAAAATTTTAATATAAATATAACTTAGGATTAAGATAATTACTAAAACTATGTTAATTTTTAAATCAAAGTTGAGTGTTCTTTAAAATTAACACAAAATAATGTTTAAAAAGCATGTTGTGGAAAACGCCCTGTATCTTATTAACTATTTGTTAAATTTTAATTAACTTTTCTTTATTTTAAAGGGGAAAACTTAATTAATGATTTAAAATTTATTTAAACTTTTTAAACCACCGGAAAATACCTTAAAATTACATAGGTATAAAATTAGTCACTTTTGTATATTTCATGTTTCTTGATTTTCATGTTTATTTTTTATTTATTTGAAAATCTGTTAACAATACTAATGTCTCCATAGTCAAGCATGACACATTAATTACAAATCACACACTACACAACAAAAACAGCCAAAAAAAAAATAATCATTCATTGTTCACATGTCAACTTCAAATCAAGATTGATATCACAATCAATAATCACAAAACATTAGTACATATTTCTGGCACAAACTTTTTTATAAATCACAGTTCAACATAAAACTTGATAAAACCATGACATTCAACTTAAAATTTCTAAAATATCTCTATAATTTTGGTGTAATATTAGCTGCTGTACCACCGATAAACTTTAAAACACTAAAACTAAAAAAATCAACACTCAGAATAACATGGAGTATATTTATGTGCATAAACTATATCGCATTGTATTTTATATCGATTCAAAAACGCTTTAAGGATTCCTATCCATTCACACCGAATATAACTGACACAATTTTGGATTTTGGGAGTTATACATGTATGACAATCACAGCAATAATGTTTATTATAAATAATTGTTTGTTATATCATAAAAAACTACAAAAGTTATTCAAAAAGTTTTCTAAAATCGATAAATTATTAATAACTAATAATAATAGCAATAAGTTTAATAATAATCATTGTAAATGGTTTATAAAACACGTGTTAATTTTAGGATTTATTCTAGTGTTTAATGTATTTTACACTGAAATATTCTGGACTGTAACAATTACTTTTGAGAGTAATTCATCATACACAGCTGCTAATCTACTAAAAATTCAGTTGTTTATTATGTCGATGATTATTTACAACTTGGCGTTAGCACTGAAACACAGATTTTGTTTTTTAAACAAAAATTTAAAAGCAATCGACATTAAAATATTTCTTGTCAAAGATATTTACAAAATAATACCTGATAATGATGTGAAACTGAATTTTTTTAAGTTAAATTATATTCATAAGGAATTATTGTTAATGTGTGTGGATTTTAATCGAATTTTTGGTAATCCGATATTGTTTCTATCGATTACTTTCATTGTTAGTATTTTACACCCGATTAATTCGGCTCTGTGTCAAGTTATGAAGGGAAATGTATTTGATGGTGTTGATATACCTAATTTTGGATTGCATTATGTTATCATTGCAGTATTAAGTGCGTTTAATTGTATTGTACGTATATCATTTTATTCTTTTGTGTTTATTTATAAGATGTTAATTTATTTAATGATTTTGATTTGTTTTAGGTGTTGATTGTTCCCCTGGCGCATGTTTCTTATACTGTTGTTAATGAATCTTCGATGGCGATACATCACAGTGAAAATTTAGCTAAAAGGTTATCTGTTTTTGAGTATGATGAGGATGTTAATGGAGTAATTTTTTGTTTGAGAGAGTTATCGCATGAATTAAAAGGGAAGTATCCGATTTTTACTGCGAATTCATTTTATAAGGTTGATCATACAATGTTGTTTACTCTTTTTGGTAGTGTGAGTACTTATTTGATAGTTTTAATTCAGATTAACATGTTAGGAGTATCTCAAGATTCACTGGCAAATCAGCAAAATATTACTGTAGTTAAATAATTAACATGAAAAATTGTTAATGTTTTTATTTTGAAATTTTAATGTTTTTGTCAGTTATTATCAATTAAAACTAAACCGATAAAGATATCAATGTGTTTTAAAGAATTTTAAATAATATACTTAATTATCTATAAAACAAGCTACAAGAAAGTTATTTCAACCCTTAATTAAAAGAGAACAGTAAGGGTTAAATGTACAACCCTTTCAGAAGGTATCCCTTTAATATTTGGGGTTGAAATAAAACGCAATTTGCATTTTATTTAGATATCTTTGTATCTGTAAAAGAAGAGTTTAATTATTTTAAGATTAGTGGCCTATAAAGAATAAACAAATATAGATGTTTTAATTTTTATTTATTTTTTCATGTTTTTTGGTATTTCATTAGTAATTAAAGTAAAACTAATAAAGATATCAAAATTTTTCAAAAAGTATAAAACAATATATTAAATTATCTATAAAAGCGTATATCCGAAATTTATTATAACCTATTATTTAGGGATGCAAATTGGGGTTGAATTTACAACCCCTTAAAAACCAAGCTTTTTATATTAAGGGTTAAACTAAATATATAATTTATCAAAATTAGTTTAAATAATAGTCGCTAAAAAGAAAAGAACAAATTTAGATGGTTGAATTTTTGAAAATTCATGTATTCTACTCTTATTTTATTAATAAAATTGAAAATAATAAAGATATCAAATTGTTATGAACAGTATGAAATAGTATATTAAATTTCCTATAAAACTATGACTATTGCTTTTATTTTAACCTGTAAATAGGGGATGAAAATAAGGGTTAAATTTACAACCCCTACAAAATAAAGATTTTTAATGTTTGGGGCTAAAATATAGTGCAATATATAATTTATTTAAATAATTAGCTATAAATAAACATATATTTAATTTATCTCTATTAGTTTAAACAATAATGGCTAAAGAAGTAGCTATAAACAAATTATTATGTTTTAATTTTCGAATTTTCATGTTTTCTGGTCTTCTTTTATTAATTAAAACTAAACTAATAAAGATATCAAAATGTTTCAAACAGTAATAAATAATCAATTAAATTTTCTATAGAACCAAGTATATTACTTTTATTTTAACCCTTAAGTTAAGGGTGTAAATTGGGGATAAAGTTACATCCCTTGTACAAATTATTTCTGCAGCCAATCTACTCAAAATGAAGACTATTGATTCTTTAATAACTGTTTAATTTAATGGTATAATTAATTTGTTTAAATTCAGCTGATTTATTTTTTTATTGAATTTTTAAATTAATTCAATTTTACTCGCACATAGGAAATTTCTTCATATTTAGGTTAACTTAACGGGTCTATAACTCATAAACCCATTGTTCAATTTTATCGGTTTAAAAAATAAAAAATAGTTCATCTAATTAGGATTCCACTCACATTAAAGAAATATTGGTAACTTTTGTTGAAGAGTGTTAAAAAACACTTCAAAGTTAAAGCAATTTTACTCTAACTTGTAAGCTGTCAATTTATTCAAAAATTCACTATATAATTCTTAAAGAGTTGGAAATTTTTATGCAGTATTGTTTTTAATCAAAAACTACTTTGTTTATTTTTTATGAATTTTTAAAAGTTAATTTTTATAATTTCAGTATCAGAGACGTAATATAATTTAAAATTTTCTATGGGTATGAACGTGCTCTTTAATTTTCTATTGATTCCAGTTTTTAAACCATCGAAAAACACTCAAAAACGCGGTAAATATCAATATTTCCATTTTTATGAAATTCCCAGACATTTCGGGAATTCCGTAGTAAAAACGTAGTAACAGTTCCTAGAATTTCGTCTGTATAGAGGAATGTGCGATGGCCGCCGCATAACTAGGTCAGCATGGCTGCCAACCTAAATAGTTTCATTTCATTGAAGTAATCGGGAATATCCTAGTTACATAATTGGTAATGCACAAAATGACAAGACCCTAAAAAAATAAGTCACTAGGTGAAATTTTGACAGTTTGGTGCGAAAAAATGACAGATGTAAACAAACCACATTTTCTTTTCATTTCTTCACCAAATCTTCTGATTTTTTAGTTTATTACTTTGGATGTGAAATTCAGGTAATTATTACTGTGTTTGTTATTATAAACAAGAAGTGGTGCGATCTGGGTTGCCTCAATTTAGCTGTAAATCCGTTGTAAACAACTTCAAAACTTCAAATTCATTTTCATGTTACTAATAATTCTGTTTATTGCAGTTTTACAGATTAATTCTCACAGAGGTTGTGAACAGCAAGGCAAGATGTTTTTAATAGATTACAAACATTTCAGCAGAATGAATCGTGTACATTGAACCCTGGAAATTGTGATTGAGCAATCTGGTAAGTCATTGCTGCAACTGTAATCAGCACTTATTGTTTATAGAATTCATTGTCATTTAATTTAATTTGCAGAATCTTGTAACATTGAAATAGTGGTCCATATTATGAATAACAATGCTGATTTCAAACTAACATTTTCATGGTAGAGTAATGGGAACTTTCAAATACTAACCACATTTAATATTCTGCTGTTTCAAGTTGAGGACAGAGATTATATATGGCACAAAAACATCTTCTACAGAACTAACAAAATATAAATTATAAAGAACAGCATCAGTTTGTACTTTTCTGCACTAATTATGATGTGTCATCAACACACTCTTAATGGACTTAACAAAAAGAAGTAATTTATTCTTCTCAACTGGTGTATGGAGTTATACATCTTATGATTATAGAGATGTGGTATTACATAATGTTTGATTAAACAGTTGCTGTTTGTTAATATGTTGAATTAGATGAATTAGATGTTTGCATAGATTCAATGTTGTATATAGAAGCATGCTGTTCAATTGTACATTTTTATTGCACATTTATTGAAAGGTTTTGTAAGCTTTATAACATTTATAACTGCTGTATTAACTTATAAGTGTAAAACATTTGGTATATTTTTAAGTATGTTTTGCTGTTTTAATGAATAAACAATCATTAATGGTGTGAAAATATATTCCAATTTATTTTACTCTATTTACGTTACGCTTTATGGCAGAAAGTAGTGGTAATAGTATAACAAACTGTAGAAACTGCATGAATAATGTTTGAAATAGAAGAACTAAAGAACCGTCTAATTATAATAATTAATCCTTTGTGGGTGGTTAGTCTATCAAATTATTTAAAATACGAACTAGTTCAAGTATCCCCCGATCCGTTAAGACAATATTATTGTGGTTTATGTCTTTTTGTAGAACAAGAATTGATCTTTCTAATGATATATGATATAACCCTCTGAAGGGTTCAGAACAGCCCTAAAAATGGCATTAAACTTTGACATAGTTTGCAAATTCTCAAAACACGCTGTGAGAAAACCTTCATATCTCCCAATCCGTTGGGCCAATCTTATTCAATTTTATGATTTCCTATAGAAGAAGAATTGCCCTTTCATTTGATATATAACATAACCCTCTGAAGGGCTCAGAACAGGAATAAAATGGCATTAAACTTTGGCATAATTTGTAATTTTTCAAAACACGCTGTTAAAAAACCTTAATATCTCGCGATCCGCTAACCCAATCTTAATCAGTTTTATGGTTTCTTATAGAAGAAGAGTTGCCCTTTCATTTGATATATAACATAACCCTCTGAAGGGCTCAGAACAGGCATAAAAATGGCATTAAACTTTGGCATAATTTGCAATTTTTCAAAACACGCTGTGAAAAAACCTTAATATCTCGCGATCCGCTAACCCAATCTTAATCAGTTTTATGTTTTCTTATAGAAGAAGAGTTGCCCTTTCATTTGATATATAACATAACCCTCTGAAGGGCTCAGAACAGGCCTAAAAATGGCATTAAACTTTGGCATAATTTGCAATTTTTCAAAACACGCTGTGAAAAAACCTTAATATCTCGCGTTCCGCTAACCCAATCTTAATCAGTTTTATGTTTTCTTATAGAAGAAGAGTTGCCCTTTCATTTGATATATAACATAACCCTCTGAAGGGCTCAGAACAGGACTAAAAGTGGCATTAAACTTTGGCATAATTTGCAGTTTTTCAAAACACGCTGTGAGAAAACCTTAATATCTCGCGTTCCGCTAACCCAATCTTAATCAGTTTTATGTTTTCTTATAGAAGAAGAGTTGGCCTTTTATTTGACATATAACATAACCCTCTGAAGTGCTTGGAACAGGCCTAAAAATGACATTAAACTTTGGCATAATTTGCAATTTTTCAAAACACGCTGTGAAAAAACCTTAATATCTCGCGATCTGCAAACCTATGCTTACTCAATTTTATGTTTTCTTATAGAAGAAGAGTTGCCCTTTTGTTTGATATATTACTTAGCCCCATCAAAAGCTTAGAATGGGCCTAAAATTGTTATTAAAAACACTCAATTTTTTGATAAAATTGTTGATGTTTCCACGTATTTTTGTAGTTCTAGTACCTATAGCGTCCCCTAGTGGTGAGGTTTATAACGTAAAGATTTTTTCTACTTGAATACAGAAACTTCAAATAGTGATATTTGTGTCTGCTACTAGAGGGCGCTAGTATACTCATTTCAATAAAATTTAATATTTTTGATGTTTATCTTTTACTGTTAGTATTTTTTTTATTGAATATGTATGTACAAAATTATGCTTACATTTTAGGTAATTATGTCATCAATATTTTTGCTTCTAATATGATAAACTAGTTGAAATGTAAAGAAACAAATGTTCATATGTTAAACAACCAATAAACAAACAAACACATGTTTCATTCATCTCAAAAAAAGGATCTTATTGGATACATCCTCGGCCTATAAAAATATTAACACCTAGTTTTACCTGCCGAAAATAGTTTACCTTCTCACACATTCTGCGATCCGAATATTGAATATGCTTGAAACCTCTTCCGAATCAGTTTGAGTCGCATTTTAATAATTTTCGGAGCGAAATAAATTGAAAAATTGATTTTTGTTATTAGGAGATCAGAATGTGTGAGGAGGCTGAAATATTTCAACAGATGTTCGCATGATTTCAACATTTTTGAAATGAAATTTTGATGGGTTTCAACACATTTTTAGCACAAAATTACATATTTTAATTACATTTTTAGGGTTGTGCAGAAACTTTAAGAGTGTCGAATCACGTATTAAAGGAACAGACAAATTAAATTATATAAGAAAACATAAAATTTTGAAAATTTGCCATACATGTATGAGTTTGAGTTTTATCATTAAACAATGGTATATATATTAAAAAATTTCAAAACACATTGTAAAAACATCTTATATCTCGCGCTGCGCCACTCTTATTTTATCACAATTCATGTTTTCATATAGAGGAAGAGTTGCCCTTTTATTTAAAATATTAGGTAACCATTTCTATAGCTTAGAATAGCCCTAAAATTGTCATTAGAAATACGTGTACATTAGAAAATACAATAGAAATCATTACAAAAACGTCTATCAGATATTTATTTTAACTCATTATTTAGGGGTGAAATCAATATGATAATTAGTAAAATATTTAAATATTTAAATATCAGTAAAATATATTGAAGCCACCCTTGGCTCCGGCGCCCACTTGCCGCGAAGTCCGGAACGCCCACAACATCCGCGACCTACAACCCCCAGCGGAAGAGGCCGCATCCCAAGCCGACGAGCCACGAACACCGCCGACCAGACCGCGCTGAGGGTGCTCAGCAAGGGATGCTGAGCGACTCGGCCTCTTTACCATCAACATCGCTCGACGCCGCACGCACTTATCGACCTCTTCCGAGCATCATCAACAACCAAGCACAACCTACGCATCAATATATATATATATAATTTATCTAAATCAGTTTAAATAATAGTCGCTAGAAAGAACGAAATAAATTTAGATTGCTGAATTTTTGAATGTTAATGTTTTCTAGTCTTATTTAATTAATAAAAATAAAAATAATGATGATATCAAATTGTTATAAACCGTATTAAATAGTATATTAAATTTCCTATAAAATTATGAACATTTCTTTTATTTTAACCTTTAAATAGGGGATGAAAATAGGGGTTAAAGTTGCAACCCCTTAAAAAGAAAATTTCTCAATGTTTGGGGCTAAAATATACTGCACTTTATATTTCATTTAAGTAATTAGCCATTGATAAATACCTTTTTTAATTTATCTGTAATATTTTACACAATAATCGCTAACAACGAATAAACAATTTAAAATGTTTTAATTTTTATGGTTTCTGGTCTTCTTTTATTATTTACCACTAAAACAATAAAGATATCAAAATGTTTTAAACACTAATAAATATTACATTAAATTTCTTATAAAATCAACTATATGAATTTTATTTTAACCCTTAAATTAAGGGTGTAAATAAGGGTTAAAGTTACAACCCTTATACAAATTATTCCTGGAATCAATCTACTCAAAATGATGGCTACTGATACTGTAATAACTGTTTTATTTAATGGTATAATTAATTTGTTTAAATTCAGCTGATTTATTTTTTTATTAATTTTTGAAATTAATTCAATTTTACTCGCACATCGAAAATTTCTTCATATTTAGGTTAACTTTACGGGTCTATAACTCATGAACCCATTGTTCAATTTTATTGGTTTAAAAAACAAAAATTAGTTCGTCTAATCAGGATTTCTCTGACATTAAACATAGATTGGTAACTTTTGTTTAAGAGTGCTAAAAAACACTTCAAAATTAAAGTAATTTTACTCTAACTTCTAAGTTTTCAATTTATTCAAAAGTTTACCAGTAGAATGTTAAAGAGTTGCAAATCCTAATGCAATATTGTTTTTTATCAAATACTACTTTGTTTATTTTTTATGAATTTTTAAAAGTTAGTTTTTATAATTTCAGTATCAACAACGTAATAAAATTTAAATTTTTGTACAGATATTGGTGTACTCTTTAATTTTCTATTGATACCAGTTTTTAAATCATCAAAAAATACTCAAAACCGCGGTAAATATTAATATTTCCATTTTTATGAAATTTCCAGATATTTCGGGGATTCCGTAGTAAAAACGTAGTAACAGTTCCTAGAATTTCGTCTGCATAGAGGAATGTGCGATGGCCGCCGCATAACTAGGTCAGCGTGGCTGCCAACCTAAATAGTTTCATTTCATTCGAAAAATCAGGAATTTTCTAGTTACATAATTGGTAATTCACAAAATGACAAGACCCTAAAAAAATAAGTCACTAGGTGCAAGTTTGACAGTTTGGCGCAAAAGAATGACAGATGTAAACAAACCACTTTTTCTTTTCATTTCTTCACCGAATCTTCTGATTTTTTAGTTTATTACTTTGGATGTGAAATTCTGGTAATTATTACTGTGCTTATACTTATAAATTAAAAGTGGTGGAATCTGGGTTGTCTCAATTCAGGAGCGAATCCGTTATAAACAACTTCAAATTCCTTTTCAAGTTTCTAATAATTTTGTTTATTGCAGTTTTACAAATTAATTCTTACAGCAAGGCAAGGCGTTTATTTATAGATTACAAACATTTCAGCAGAAGGAACCACATATCTAAAGCTGAACATTGTGATTGAGCAATCTGGTAAGTTATTGTTGCAACTGTAATCAGCACTTATTTCTTATTGAACTTATTCTCATTTAATTTAATTTGCAGCCTCTTTTAACATTAAAGCATTGAGCATGCATAACAATCAGCTGATTTCAAACTAACGTTTACATGGTAGAGTAAAGGGAACCTTCAAATACTAACCAAATTTAATATTCTGCTGCTTCAAGTTAAGAACAAGGAAAGAACAACATCAGTTTGCCCTTTTCTGCACTAATGATGATGTGTCATCAACACACTCTTAATGGACTTAACCAAAAGAAGTAATTTATTCTTCTCAACTGGTGTGTGGAGTTATATATCTTATTATTATTATAGAGATGTGGTATTACATAATGTTTGATTCAACAGTTGCTGTTTGTTAATATGTTTAATTAGATGTTTGCATAGAAGCATGCTGTTCAATTGTACATTTTTATTGTAATTTTATTGAAAGGTTTTGTAAGCTTCATAACAGTTATAACCTTTATATTAACTTGTAAGTGTAAAATATTTGGTATATTTTTTAAGTATGTTTTGCTGTTTTAATGAATAAACAATCATTAATGGTGTGAAAATATATTCTAATTTATTTTACTCAATTTACGTTGCGCTTTATGGCAGAAAGTAGTGGTAATAGTATAACAAACTGTAGAAAATGCATGAATAATGTTAAAGTATCTCCCAATCCAAAGGGGCAATTTTATTGTGGAATATGCTCTTTTGTAGAAGAAGAATTGACTTTTTGCATGATATATGACTTAACCCTCTGAAGGACTCAGAACAGCCCTAAAAATGGCACTAAACTTTGGCATAGTTAGCAAATTTAGAAAGCACGCTGTACGAAAACTTTAATATCTCCCGATTCGTTAGGCCAATATTATTGTTGTTTATGTCTTTTTGTAGAAGAAGAATTGACCTTTCGCATGATATTTGACTTAACCCTCTGAAGGGCTTAGAGCAGCTCTAAAAATGGCATTAAACTTTGGCATAGTTTGCAAATCTTTAAAACACGCTGTGAAAAAACCTTTATATCTTGCATTCCACTAACCCAATCATATTCAATTTTATAGATTCTTATAGAAGAAGAGTTGCCCTTTTATTTGATATATAACATAACCCCCTGAAGGGCTCATAACAGGCCTAAAAATGGCATTAAACTTTGACATAATTTGCAATTTTTCAAAACACGCTGTGAAAAAACCTTAATATCTCGCGATCCGCTAACGTAATCTTATTCAGTTTTATGTTTTCTTATAGAAGAAGAGTTTCTCTTTCATTTGAAATATAACATAACCCTCTGAAGGGCTCAGAACAGGGCTAAAAATGGCATTAAACTTTGGCATAATTTGCAATTTTCCAAAACACGCTGTGAAAAAACCTTAATATCTCGCGATCCGCTAATCTAATCTTATTCAGTTTTATGTTTTCTTATAGAAGAAGAGCTGCTCTTTCATTTGAAATATAACATAACCCTCTGAAGGGCTCAGAACAGAGCTAAAAATGGCATTAAACTTTGGCATAATTTGCAATTTTTCAAAACACGCTGTGAAAAAACCTTAATATCTCACGATCCGCTAAGCTAATCTTATTCAGTTTTATGTTTTCTTATAGAAGAAGAGTTGCCCTTTCATTTAATATATAACATAACCCTCTGAAGGGCTCAGAACAGGGCTAAAAATGGCATGAAACTTTGACATAATTTGCAATTTTTCAAAACACGCTGTGAAAAAACCTTAATATCTCGCGATCTGCTAACCTAAGGTTACTCAATTTTATGGTTTCTTATAGAAGGAGAGTTGCCCTTTTGTTTGATATATTACTTAGCTCCATCAAAAGCTTAGAATGGCCCTAAAATTGTTATTAAAAACACTCAATTTTTTTATAAAAATGGTTGATATTTCCACGTAATTTGTAATTTTAATACCTATGGCGTTCTCTAGTGGTGAAGTTTGTAACTAAAAGATTTTTTCTACTTGAATACAGAAACTTAAAATAGTAGTATTTGTGTCTGCTACTAGAAGGCGCTAGTATACTAATTTCAATTAAATTTATTATTTTTGATGTTTATCTTTTATTGTTAGTATTTTTTTTTATTGAACATGTATGTACAAAATTATGCTTACATTTTAGGTAATTATTTCATCAAAATTTTTGCTTCTAATCTGATAAACTAGTTGAAATGTAAAGATGCAAACGTGTATACGTTAAACAACCAATAAACAAACAAACACATGTTTCATTCATATCAAAGAAAGGATCTTATTGGATACATCCTCGGCCAATAATAATATTAACACCTACTTTTACCTGCCGAAAATATTTTACCTTCTCACACATTCTGCGTTCCGAATATTGAATATGTTTAAAACCTCTTCCGAATCAGTTTGAGTCGCCTTTTAATAATTTTCGGAGCGAAATAAATCAAGAAATTGATTTTTGTTATTAGGAGAGCAGAATGTGCGAGGAGGCTGAAATATTTCAACAGATGTTCGCATGATTTCTACATTTTTAAAATCAATTTTTGATGGGTTTCAACACATTTTTAGCAGAAAATTGCATATTTAAATGACATTTTTAGGGATGTGCAGAAACTTTAAGGATGTTAAGCCACGTATTAAAGGAACAGACAAATTTATTTATATAAGAAAACATAAGTTAGAACTGACGTAGTGCGAGATATAAGCTAGTTTCCAAGGGTTTTGAAAATTTGCATAACATGTATGAGTTTAATAAGCATTTTTAGGGCTGTTCTGAAAATTATGAGATTTTGAGTCATATATTAAATGAAAAGACAATTTCTATTCCATATAAGGGTATAAATAGTAATACAATGAAACCGAGGTATCGGAAGATAAGTGCGATTTTCCATATTGTAAATTAAATATAATGTGGAAAACTTTCTGTATCTCGAGATCTGCTAAACCAATTTGACCGTAATTTATGCCCTTTTATAGAAAAAAATTAGCCCTTTAGTTTATTGTTTAAGTTAACTCTATAAAAAGCATACAAACAGCCCTAAAAATGCTTAAGGTCTGGTATATTTTGGAACCTTTCAAAACACGATGTGTAAAACAACTTATATATGGCGCTGCGTGAGCCCTATTTTATTGCAAATTATGTTTTCTTGTAGAGTAAGAGCTGCCCTTTTATTTAATGCATGATTTAACCCTCTAGGTAGCTTAAAATAGCCCTAAAATTGTAAATAGAAATATTCAATATGCTGAAAAAATGTGCTGATATTTTGAGGCAATTTTGTCAACTTTTAATACCTCTAGCGCCACCTAGTTGCAAAGTCTGAAAGTTTATAGCTTTTGTCTATTTAAATGTAGAACTCTGCAATTTTTGAGTAGCATGATGTTATAATAGTTTATGATAACACACTTTGTCACGAGAGGGCGCTAGTATGTACATTTTAATTAAATTTTATATTTTTGTTATTTGTGTGTTTATGTTAAAGTTTTTTATTCAAGCATTTAATGTTTACGTTTTAAAAATTTATATCATAAAATAAATCACTTCTAATGTATGAAATAGCTAAAATTTGAATAAACAATGTGTGTACTTTATACAACCAATAAACAATCGAATATTTCATTGATAACAAAGAGAGCATCTTATTGGATAGACCCCAAGAAGATATAAATATTACCACCTACCTACCCACCAATCTTACCTGCCGAAAATGTTTCACCTTCTCACACATTCTGCGATCCGAATATTGAATATGCTTGAAACCTCTTCCGAATCAATTTGAGTCGCATTTTAATAATTTTCGGAGCGAAATAAATCGAAAAATTGATTTGTGTTATTAGGAGAGCAGAATGTGCGAGGAGGTTGATATGATTCAACGGATGTTCGCGTGATTTCAACACTTTTTAAATGAATTTTTGTTTGGTTTTAACACTTTTTAACATTAAATTGTGGATTTCCTATAACATTTTTAGAGCTGCGCAGAAACTTCAAGGATGCCGAGTCCCGTATTAAATAAAAGCACAAATTTATTTCAACAAGAAAACGTAAAATAACAATAACATTGCGCAAGATATAAGTAATTTTTCACAATGTGTTTTAAAAGTTTGCAAACCATTCCAATATTTAATAGCATTTTTAGGGCTGATTTGTAGAAGAAGAATTGACCTTTCAAATGATATATGACTTAACCTTCTGAAGGGCGCAGAGCAGCCCAAAAAATGACATTAAACTTTGGCATAGTTTGCAAATTTTCAAAATACACTCTGAAAATGGCTTCAAGCCGTAGCGGGCCGCTATGTTTTTATATACAACGTTCACAGTTTTTCTGTAGTGTATTTAGTATCAGTATTGCAACCGTGCGAAGCCGGGGCGGGTCGCTAGTAGTTTACAAAATTCTTAAAATACACTCTGAAAATGTTCAATATCTCCCGATCCGCCAAGCCAATGTTATTGTGCTTCATGCCGTTTTGTAGAACAAAAATTGAGCTTTTGCACGATGTATGACGTAACTCTCTGAAAAGCTCAGATTATCTCTTAAAATTGCATTAAACTTTGACATAGTTTGCAAGTTTTTAAAACACGCGATGAAAATTTCGTAATATCTTGCGAGCCGCTAGCCCAATCTTATTGAATTTTATGTTTTCTTATAGAATAAGAGTTGCCCATTTATTTGATATATCACTTAGCGACCTCAAAAGCTTAGAATGGCGTTAAAATTATTATCAAAAATACTCTATTTTTTGAGAAAAATTGGTAAGTTTTCGACGTAATATTATAGTTTTAATACCTCTAGCGCCACCTAGTTGCAAAGTATTAAAGCTTTAATCTAGCTTCAAGCTCTTATCTATTTAAATGTAGAACTCTGTAATTTTTGAGTAGCATGATGTTGTGATAGTATAACTTGCCACGAGAGGGCACTAGTATGTACATTTTAATTAAATTTTATATTTCTGTTATTAGTCCATTATTGTTAATGTTTTTTTATTAGAGTGTTCAATGTATACATTTTAAATTATTATATCATCAATTTACTCACTTCTAATGTAAGAAATAGCTAAAATTTGAATAAACAATGTGTAGTTTTTAAACAACCAATAAACAAACAAATATTTCATTGATAACAAAGAGAACATCTTATTGGATAGACCCCTAGAAGATATAAATAATACCACCTACCTACCCACCAATCTTACCTGCCGAAAATGTTTCACCTTCTCACACATTCTGCTATCCGAATATTGAATATGTTTAAAACCTCTCTCGAAACAATTTGGAGCGCGTTTTAATAATTTTCGGAGCGAAATAAATCGAGAAATTGATTTTCTATATTAGGAGAGCAGAATGTGCAAGGAGGCTGAAATCCTTCGGCGGGATTTTGAATGATTTTAATAAATTGCACACTCTTTTAAACTGAATTGATGTGCACTGTTAATTTACATCTTGTAGGATGTTCATTGACAGTATAAGGGTTGTTTTGCACCCGGTAAAAGGAATTAGGTGTTAAATAAAGGTGAAACTGCTTTCACACAAAATGACTAATAATATGATAAGAATTCAGAATAGCAGAATCTTGTAACATTGAAACAGTGGTCCATATCATGAACAACCACAATCAGCTGATTTCCAACTTGGATTTTAAAGGTAAAGTAAGAAGAGTCTTCAAATATTAACCAGATTTAACATTCTGCTGATTCAAGTTGAAGACTGAGTTTATATGGGGCACAAAGATATCTTCTACTGTGCTAACAACTGTACAACATCAGTTTGCCATTGTCTGCAGTGTCAATTAAGATGTATCATTAATACACACTTAATGGATTTAACTAAAAGAAGCAATTCATTTTTCTCAACTGGTGTAAATAGTTATACATCTTAAAATTATGTACATGTAGGACGAAATAATGTTTGATTCAACAGTGACTGCCTGTTAATGTATTTAATTAGATACTTGCATAGATTTTATTGTGTATTGTTTATTTTTTAATTATACACCAGAGTTGTTTCGGCACAAGTTTCGAACAGAATTTGTATTCAGATCACAGGATGTATAAAGAAGCGAAAAAGATTCGGCGTAATTTTGTAAAGTTTTAATACCTCTGGCGCCACCTAGTTGCAAAGTATTAAAGCTTTAATCTAGCTTCAAGCTTTTATCTATTTAAATGTAGAACTCTGCAATTTTTGAGTAGCATGATGTTATAATAGTTTATGATAACACACTTTGCCACGAGAGGGCGCTAGTATGTACATTTTTAATTAAATTTAATATTTCTGTTATTAGTACGTTATTGTTCCTGTTTTTTTATTACAGTGTTCAATGTTTACATTTAAAATATTTATAACATCAATTAAATCACTTCTAATGTAAGAAATTGCTATAATTTGAATAAACAATGTGCATACTTTAAACAACCAATAAACAAACAAATATTTCATTGATAACAAAGAGAGCATCTTATTGGATAGACCCCAAGAAGATATAAATATTACCACCTACCTACCCACCAATCTTACCTGCCGAAAATGTTTCACCTTCTCACACATTCTGCGATCCGAATATTGAATATGCTTGAAACCTCTCTCAAAACAAATTTGGAGCGCGTTTTAATAATTTTCGGAGCGAAATAAATCGAAATTGATTTTTGTTATTAGGATAGCAGAATGTGTGAAGAGGCTGTTATGTTTTTACGGATTTTTGACAGATTTAATGATTTTACTGATGGATTTTTAATGATTTAAACCCATTTCGTGGAAAATAGAATAATTTTAATAACATCTTTAGGACTATTCTAAGCTTTGGAGGGTATTGAGGATATTAAATAAACGAGGAACTCATCTTTTACAAGCAATCGTAATTTACGATAAAATTGTGCTTGTAGATAGCGTGATTTAGGGTGTTTTCCATATCGTGTTTTGAAAATAAAATTTTCCAACACAGAAAAGAAAATCAGTTATCTACAGAGTAATATATCACGTTTTATTAAATTGTCACTTTAATAAATAATTACAATGTGTGTACGTACTAAAATAATATAACATATACTACAAAGACTAATTATTAGTATTCATAAAATAGCAGTTTGTGTTAATAACATTAGAAACAATCAGAAAGTGTTTAAATTGGCGCTTTCCTCATGATTCAAAATCTGATTCTTCTTTTTCCGTTGATTAACCTTTGTTCTTCGCCATTTCCACAGTACAATCACGACAACAATCAGGATAATACCCAAGACACATCCACCAATCAGTAACGACTTATTTAGTTTCGTCTGAAAAATCTGTTCGGCATGTTCCTTCTTACAAGAAGTGAATAAATCCATATCTTCTTGTGGAATAACATAATCACATTCTAAAAGCAACAAAAAACAAAAATTAATTAAAAAATAATCAAAGATTTTGCAATAAAACCATTACCTGATTGTTTAACTTCACACTGATTAGTAAAATTGGTATAAACAATGCGTCTTTCCTTCAGCCATCGATCCAAATTCCAACAATCGCAGGGATTTATAAACTGGGCGCTCATATTCGCGTTTACCCAAACTTCCAGGTTACAGAGTCCAGCAAATTGACTTGTGTTCAAGATTAAACTCATCCCAGAAACATTGTATTTTATCAACGTAGGCATTAATCCCATGATAGGTAACAGTGACCATTCTTCATCGTTGTAGTAATTAAATGAAATATCCAAGTATTCCAATGGTGCACGCAGTGGTGTGGCGTTTTCAATGACTTCCACCATGTTGATGTTGTGGTTTTGACTTAAGTAAAGATACTTCAATGATGGCAACTGGAAAACCACTTCGGGGATGGATGCTTCCGAGCTGAATGAGTTGAGGGATAGGTCCAGAGCAAGCAGGGAATCTTTATCCGATAACGCTTCTGGTTGTATGTGTGTTATCATGTTATCAGCCAGATATAAATACTTTAGGTTTGAATATGGTTTTAGGTCTTCGGCGGAGACAGATCTAATGCGGTTGAATGCTACATCTAGGACCTAGAAGAATATATTTGAGTTAATAAAATGATATTGAGGTTATGTTTCGTGTAAAATTCATGTAAACATGACAAAATGGCGGTTAAAGTGTTTTTCGTTAGTAAATCGACTGTAACTCGTATAATATTTAATATTTCGATGCAATTTAAATAATAAACGATAAATGAATATATTCTTCATAAATATGCGGAATTTAAACAATGTACTATGATTAGATATCAATAAAATGGCGACTTGTTCTAGATTTTTATCCATTTTGTTAGTTTTTTGTTAATAACTTCAAAAATAATGTATGTACGGTCTTGATTTAAACATAAAACAATAAATATATAAATATTTAACAAATGTGCCAAATTTAAATGATATCTATGCAGTAGTTATTGTATAATTAACAAAATGGTGTCGTGTTTTAGAATTTTATCAATAAATCTACGTTTTTTGTGTTTTACATGCCTGTAATTAGTCAAATATGATTCCCAGTTATGTGAATTTATCAATAAACAATAAAAAGATAAATTTTTATAGAATATGTAAAAGTTCAATTAGTTTTACTGCCAAATTCTCTCGAAACACAAAGAAAATTATGATACTTATTTTACTTTTCTTCTTTGTTACTAAAATAACAATAACTTTAACAAAAGCAAATATTTTACGTTGATGTAAACATCAGGCGATAAATAAATAAATTTCCAAGAAACGTGCATTATCTCAATAACCTCCAACAAATAGTTTACACACAATCAACAAAATGGCGTCAGATTTACGTTTCGTTCGTGCTTTCTATTGTTTATTGCACTGTATCTTTTAAACTACTCGATATTTTGTTATTGTTTAAAGTGTAAGTGCTAAATATAAACATACTTTAGACATAAGAAAATTTTAAACAATCCTAACAAACGTAATCTATTAATTAAACTCATTTTACCTCAATATTTGATTGTAAATTCCTCGGAATCCTCCTACAGGTCCGATCATAACAATCCGCAGACATCATCCGATGAATCCTTTGAATTGAACACTGTCCTTCACAAAACTTTTGTGCCACATGAGCATATCCACTACAAACTAACAAAGTCAACGCTAATCCGACTAGTTGCAATTGAAACTGGCACATTTTCGAAGATTTCCCGAACACAACAGTTCAACAGAAACCAAAACTAAACACTATTAAAGTCAACTTAGTTGAAAGTCATATCCGAGCTGATAAAATGCAGTTTAATCCGATTGCAGCGGGTGGAATCAGAAGAAACCCAGAGGTCAATATGTTATCACTGGTATTACAACACGCACAAACATTTCAAGCACACATTGATCACATTTTCATCACAAAACAACATCAACTTCACAGTTTGTAAACTTAAACTTATTCAGCACTCTTGTCCAGTGTCTTAATTGTTAATTGCCTTCCAAATTACAGCAAGCCTCTGCACTGACGCACTGTTTGTTATGTTATGCTCGGCTTTGCGATGGAAGAAAACGAGCGCAAATTAGTTTCGATTAAGTTCACAATCACACGCGGAGGAAACTTCGGCGCTCAGCGCATGCACAAAGCTCTCAGCACATTCGCCGCCCAACCGTGTTTATTTATTGTACTTTATTGTTACGGTCAAAAGGTTAAACTCGACGTCTGCTGATCTCACAACTCACTGCTCAAGACGCATCGCGAAAAATTAATTGCACTTGCAATTAATTACGAATTAGTTCAGAGGGATCACTGAGAGGTTCACACTGTGATAATCACAAATGGTAATGATAATATTCTCGCACAAACGAGTGCGATTGACAAGGGGATTCTTATCATTTAAGCTGTTTATAGAACGCAATCAAACCTTGATATGATTAAATATTTGATGGCGTGTGGATTTCAATTTGCTCACATTGAATTATATTTTGGCAACACTTTTATTACAAGTCACGAAAACTCAATTTTATTAACTTTAGTTTTGATTTTGTTTTGTTTTTTGTTTGTGATGCGTACTGTTCGTGCGTTATCACTGGAATAAACGACAAGTTGACAAGTATACCACTTAATTAATGCCTAAACTTTTGAATGGTTCAAATTTGATTCTAATGGCTATAAACAGAGTGAAACCGCAAGAGGAACTTGATAACATATCACTTAATATTATATTTAGACCAAAAATCCAAATTAATCATCGGAAACATAAAAATTTAAATTAAACTAATTTTTATGTTAAAACCGATAAAATCGCAATAAAAACTTTTAAATTTTCCATTTGTAACACCCTGTTTAAAAAAATATTTTGTTATCTGACTCTTGATAAATATATCTCTGGTATTAAATGTCATAGCAATGTGACCGATAGACCGATGTCCAATTCGAACAACAATTAATGTAACGAGTTGTAATGACTCTGTTAATGTGAGCCCTAAGTGAAAATTTCTCTTTGCGAATTAAACACAACTGACAAATAGTTAAATGTAATATTATATTATAAATCTCCATATTCTCACGGCGTTTTAATCAGTTGTAACATGATCCGCTGCATGATCATCAAACTGTTCCTAAAAACTAATTGTCTGCATAAATTGTATTGCAATAATAAAGCAGGGAGTGTTTCAGCGATTGTTTGTCGTTCGTCATGTGTCTGATCGTCAGATTGTTCCCTCACAACCACTCACAACCGTGTTTGAAGGTTTTTTGTAGCGTAGATAGTTGTAGTACTTTGTTCAATTGAAGCAGTTCGCGTTCATTAACCGATTAAATTGCTCCCAATCAACGATTCGTCGTTCTGTATCTCGTACAGTTTTTCAGTGCGCTTTGTCGCACTGCATCGTACAGTATTTTTCAATTAAAATCAGTTTAAGCGCTCTGCCAGCGTGAATCATAAACAAATAAAACCCACACGGATTTATTTTATTAAGTTTTTCATCCCTACTCTCGCAGATTAATGTAAACTGAGCTTTGGCGAAGTTGCACGAAGCTTTTGAAGATGTTAAAGACAAGTTTACACATTTTATTCGTCAAAACAGAGTTTATGTTTATTATTTTACATTTTTTATCAGATAAATGTGAAATATTGCTAATAGAGTCGTTTTTGCGCTAGTGCACATGCGCAGTTTGCGTGTAAATTGTTTAAACATGTACTGCACATGTAATCAACCTTATAATAATCAAACACACTTCTGATGTGGCACGTAAACATCTTATAAGTCTAATATCTGTGATAAGGAAGTAAATATTTACTTAAAAACACATTTTTAAGTGTTTTCTGCTATATATTCGCTCATTTTGTGCTTAAATTTATTTAATTCAAGTAGAAATCTTATAAAACATTGAAATAACCTAAAAATATACTAATTGCATTGTTAATAATATTATTAAAGCCCAGTGGATTCATTCTTTACTGTTATAAAGTAAGTTTTTGTTAAAATTACATTTATTAATAATTTGTCACTATAGCAACAAATGATAACATTATTTACTATGACATTTGTTTAATTATGTTCACTTTATCAACATTCCAAGTATTTAAGTCTATTTATAAGAGAATACTACTTAATAATGCTTTTAGTTGTGAAAGAACTTCCCACAGCAAAGAAGAATATCAAACTAGTGATAAAATGATCGAGCATATTGTTTTGGTACATGGTGGTGCTGGAGACATTACAGATTCAGCAAAAATTCCTATTTTACTTGCAGGAGTGAAAGCTGCAGCATTAGAAGGGTACAGAAAGCTTCAAGAAACAGGTAATTAAGTTATAATAATACTAAATTATTGATTAATACAATAAAAAAAGTCGTATGTGTACGACTGGTTGCCTATAGTAAATCTTCATTTTAAACTTTTTTATAATTTTTTTTTTATTTTAAAAACAGGATGTGTCTTGGATGCTGTTGAATATGCCGTCCGAAATCTTGAAGATAACGAAAATTTCAATGCCGGAAAAGGTTCCGTTATCAATACAGATGGAGAAGTTGAAATGGACGCCAGTATTCAATGCGGAAAAACACTCGATTGCGGAGCTGTGACCATTGTAAAAGACGTCAAAAATTGCATTACACTTGCCCGGAAAGTAATGGAGAACACCGAACATACAATCCTTGGAGCTGAAGGAGCAAGACGCTTTGCAATTGATCAAGGCCTAGACTTAATGGAACCTGGAGCATTGGTCACCGAGCGTAGAATTGAAGACTTAAAAAGGATCTTAGCAAAAAGACAAGAACCCAAATGTGAAATGGGTAATAACTAATTTAAACAATTTAAAAATGATTATTATATCTTTTATGGTTTATATAGGAACCGTTGGTAGTGTAGCAATCAATTCTAAGGGAAATCTAGCTGCTGCAACATCCACAGGAGGCCGCGAAGGCAAAATGCCGGGTCGATGCAGTGACACATCCCAAATCGGAAGTGGTACCTTTGCAGACGACGCCATTGGATGCGTCTCAACCACAGGCCATGGTGAATCTATCATGAAAGTATGTCTGGCATACAATATTCTTGAAAATCACAAAGCAGGGATGAGTATTCAAGATGCTACGAAGAAAGGCGTCAATGATATGACAGCTAAAGTTGGTAACACTGCCGGTGCCATTGCTATCTCCCACAATGGCGAAGTAGGAGTTGGTTTCTCTTCCAATAGAATGTCCTGGGCCTACATTAAAGGCAACGAAGTACATTTCGGCGTGGACCAAGATCAACATGACATTGAAACGATTACAATCTAAACATTCCACATTGATTTTATTACAACCAATAAACTCAACATTGTATTACTCATAAGTCTAACACTAGCATGCGATTGTCCAACCGGAAACGTCCATAGAATCCCTTTGACTATTTGTGCATATTGTATGAAATTCAACAGATCCACAACTTTTGTGTAGGAATCAATATTACCACCGTCTGCACCACCGCCAGATTGTGTTTCATTACAAGGCGTGGCTTTGTGTAGGATACCAACAAGTTTACCATCACATATCAAGGGACTTCCGGAATCACTCTGACATGGCATTTCTGGTAGATTCAGGACACAAACGTGATGATCATCGTCGCATGGACCAAGATACTTATTGATTTTGTATTCCAGTTCAAGAGATGCTACTGTTTCAGATGCTTCGAACCCATACACGAAACATTTCTGCTCATCTTGTGTAGTTGCAGCTAATTCTTCTTCTGTTCTTGTGAATGGTGTGATTGGGAAGAGGCGATGATCAAAATCGTAGTCGGATTCGATAAGGGCGATGTTGAGTTTTGGGTGTTTTGTGATTCTGACTCCTAGCATGCGTTGCTCGCAGTATTCGATTGATGTCTTTGCAGGGCCCGTGCAGATGATGATTTCAAGCACACGGCCGTCGCGTTCCATTGAGAATACACAGGACTGCGAGGTGAGTACCCAATATGATGCTACATAGATTCCAACGCAGGTGTCTGTTGATGTGCGTCGTGTTAGGTGTAAGATGCAAGTTGGGGCATTTTTACTTCTTTTAGATTTTGTAATTGGGGCAGTAGGAATGTACAAATGCAGAATAACCAAAATGTGTGCATGATTTTTAGGGTGTGACGTTGAAATTTGTCAAAATTGGCATTGGGAGCTATGTATTTGAGGTTTGTTGTAGGTAGCCATATTGGAAAATGGTTTGTTTTGGTTTGTTGTGTGTTTTTGTTGATAACTTTGGTGATTTTTGGAATTTTTGGACAAATTTAGTATCAAATTAATGGTAATTAAATTTTACATAATAAAAAGTTTGTAGCAAGTGGTTAATATTGTTTATTTAGCTTGAAATTTGTTAAAATATGTGTTATTGAAGATTATGTTAAGTTTTTTTGCAAATTATTTAAATTTTCATCAATAACTTTTGAAATAACTGCTTGATTTTTAAAATTTAAACCTTATCTTAAAGATAATTAAATTTTACAATAAGTACAGTATAGATAATTGTTTATTACTTATCAAAACATTGTTTACAACGCAATCAAAATAGATATAATTCTGTCAATTTACAATAAATGGGTTTTACGTATAACTATTGCGTTAATTACCACAGTTTTATAAATTCATAAAAAATATATGTTTTATATTAAAGACAATGAAATAATACAGAATATACAGTTTCTTGTAAATAGTTTTTGTTATTTATTCTTCTTCAAACATACAAAAACTTATCACTTTGTATTTAGGGTAATTTTTTTGCAAATAATTTACATTTTTATAAATAACTTCTAAACTAATTCCTCAATTTTAAAAGTTTAAACGTCATTTGAAAGCCAATAAAATATACATTAACTATATTAATATTATATTGTAAACTACACCATATGTTAGATAGTAATGCATAAACAATCTGTTACCTAACTCAAATCAGTTTTTACTAAACTTGCAATATCTTTGAAAATATTGAATTCCCGACATGAAAAAAAAATTGGATAAAAGAAAAATAAATTTTCTATCAAATAAACATAAAAATTTTTCCAAAAACTTAAAATTTTTGAAATTACAAGCCAAAATAAACGTTTTTTAGAGTATCACGAGTTTCCCTCCAAAACGCACTCTTAAATCTTCATTAGGAAGCTCTTTCAACCAAAATAATTGGTAATTTAAAGTGTGGAATGTGGCGGGGTTTGAAAAGTGACAAAATTCACCGATGTGGTCATGCGAGAAGCACGCGTGGGCAAAAATTCCCAAGAAGGTCGCGCGACGACCTTCTCTCATCGAGTGTCGTCTCTTTCACCTTTACCATCACATGAAATCACATTCTGAAACGAATTTACATTTATTATTCAACTGACAACATTAATTAATCTTATCATACATTCATACCTACTCCACGCCATCATTGCGAGCATTTAATAAAAACGTACAATTTGCACGCCTGCGGGACGTCAACAAACTAATCGTAAACAAAACCGGCGAAATTCCAACATCCAACACGTTGTTTGCCTCTTTTTTGCTTTATTATTATGCGCATGCAACTTTTTTGGTAATTCCCATTCCCGCCGGATGTAAATTCCTTCGATTGGAAACGTCTTCATTAATTTTTATTTTTTGCAGCGCGTCGATGTGATGCAAAACGAAGAAAGCAAAAAAAACTGTATCCGTAACGGAATTTTAGTCGTGTTTTAAGTCGTGACCAAATTTGATGTACCAATTAAGTGACTCATCCGAAAATTCACGAATTGTGTCCGAACAATCAAGTTCTTGATCAGTTTTTAATTGTCACGCTGATGTAATACTTCCTTTATTAATGCCCACACGATAATTAATTGTTTATAATTAAGGAATTTAAATAAAAGTTTAAGATTAGTCACTGTTGTCGTTGTTGTTAGATCATTAGTCATTTGTTTGTTTATCATGCACGTCGTTAACATTTCGTTGAGTTTCTAGATTTTTGTCAATCAACAAGATTGTAAATTAACTATTTCGATAAAAGTTTTAGAATTCTGGATTTCGAATAGAAATTTTGTATTATTTTTGATTTTTTGGTTTGGTTGTGTTGTTTACGGTTTAGATTAATTGGTTGTTGTTATTTTAGCAACAAAAGTTAATGATAATTATGTCGAGTTTTATGATTTTGCCAAAAAACACAAAAAACACGAAAATTATTTGTTTTTAATGATAACTTTTGTAATTTTTGGAATTTTTTTGCAAAATTAGTGTTGAATTAAAGATAATTATATGTTACATAATAAACAATTGTTGTTAATTGTTGTTTTTGTTTATTTATACTTAAAACAAACAAAAAGTTTTTTGTATAAATGCAAAAATTTAAAATATGTGGAAAAAACGTGAAAAAACGAGGAAATAATCACCCCGTGACTAAAGCCCGTGACTAAAATACTTTTTAGACTATATTAAAGGTGGAAATATAGAAACAATTTTATATTATCCGTTATAATATTGATTAAAACGCATCCAAAAAAAAGATGACACCAAGTATGTTAAAAAATTGATTTTTGTTATTAAATTGCTAATAATTATTGTATTTTTGTGAATAAATTATTAAAATTAGTCTTAAATTAGAGCCAATTAAATTATACATAAGATGATTTGTTATTATTGTATATTTGGATACTGTATACTTTACAAAATGATCTTGAAGTAACTAGAGTTTTTCTTAAATTTTCTTAAATTTTATTTCAATTAAATTGTTTACATTTTCAACAATAACTTTTAAAATAAATACTCAAGTGAAATAATTTTGAGAGCATCTTGAAGTCAATTAAATTTAGCATATGATTAAATAATTTTGTTTTATATTCGGATAATATAAACTTCATAAAATGATCTTGAAGTCAAGAGTGTTTTTTCAAATATTTTAAATTTTATTTTAATGAAATTGTTTACATTTTTATCAATAACTTTTAAAATACTGACTTAATTTGACTAATTTAAACTTCATCGTATAGCCAATTAAATTATTCACAAAATTTACAACAATTATTAACAAAAACATAAAATTATCAACCAAATATCAAGCAAAACAAATCAATTTATCACCTTTTAATACTTTTGTTTTGAAACCTATTCAATTGTCTAAAACTGATCAAAAAAACAAGTTTAACAATAAACACAGTGTGAATTGTATGGAATGTTAATGCGTTATTTGATATTTAATAGATTCGTCTTGTATTTTATTGTCTGGCATCTTGATTTTAATGTCTCAACACGCATTATTCAAAATCAATTTCCATCTACCATTCACAAACAAAAACGTGCCAATATTCAAATTTCAACGCAAACAATTCCATCGTTTTTAGTTTAATGTCAAGCCTGAGTGTTCAAAATTAAAATTCCTCCACAGCGTGCGTTTGCTTCGTGACTCAGCCGAATACAGAATACAGAAGCGAAAGAAAACGCAAAAGAAAAGCAGACTTTCACCGGCCGAATAAACAAACGTTAACGACATTGCGCGGCGCCCGGATTCGAAATTACAATAATGACGAATGCAGCTGGCTGGCAGTAAAATGTAGAAACAGAAACAAGCGCAGCGTAACAGACAAACAAAATGCGAAAAGCGTTTTATTATTTTATTGTATACATGATCGGACGTCGGACATCAACTTTCTTCGCGCCATCGCGTGCGAAGAAGTGATTTTCAACGCACAAAGCGTTCGTGTAATACTAAACGTTTAACAATTGTTGCTATCTACGAGTACATGCACAACGGTCAAGAACTTTCAATGAAATCTTCACAATCAAGGATTTGTGTCTTCGAGTATAATCTGAACATAAATCAAACATAAATCAAACAAGTTTTCATCATTTCAAGCCGTGTTTGTGTTTATCTATTGTGTATTGATTTGAGGTTAAGTTTTATGATGATCTTTGACATTGTATTACGTCATTTCATAACCACACTGTAAAATTTAGTAAAATTTAACCTAAAAGTTGATTGAATCGATTTATTTCCTTGTTGAAAAGTACAGGAAGTAGAATTTGCCGACGTACACCCTTGAACTTACCTTCGGCCGCGATTTACCTTTTAAACATTCGTGTGCGATCAGTAAACAAACGTAGAGAGCTTAACTTCCGACATTTGTCAACTCCGCTCAAACTTACAGCAATTTATAGGCAATAAACACATATTCAGCGTTATTTTATGATATAGGAACAGAGTATAAACAATTATTGTTTGTTCCCTAGGCGGGACTTTAATTATTATTATTAACACTTACTTATTTTGTGCGTAAATTGCTTTTTTATTAATTGTGGCGTTAAGGTTACTTTGGGTGTGAATAATTTGTGGTTAGGTTTAGTTATTTGTGAATATCTCGGAAACTAT